CATGGCTATGTGGGGTTGAGGAGCTCCGGGGGGGAGGGGGAGGGGGGCGATCGCAAGGCTTTGAAGCGGGTATACTCTACCTCCACTCCTCCCCAGCCCACCTCTATTGCGTTGGAGTGTGGCATGATTGTAACTGATGCCACCCACTGACTTTGGAGTCTGTGCCGTTCTTCCGTCGGTCCAGGTTTTGACCATGGAGATTTGCCTTAGAACCGTGACCTACATGGACCAGCTGGACTGGCTGTGGGACGAATTATCGGCTGATTTATTGTCTAGATTCATTGTTTATGTGAGAAAAATTTGACAAGGTGGAGCAGTGGACATAAATGCCACCAGAGGGTGTCAGAATTCGTTGGAAAAACAGGGCAGCTTTCGCCGACATGTTGAGGCTTTGAAATAGCACTAGACGTTCTTTTGTTGCTGTTTTGATGTGTTGTTGGTGGTGTCCGATGCAATCGAAATATAGGTGTTGGGGGTGTTGTGCTAGTAGCCGCTCTCGGCTCTCCGATAAATTTTGACAACTCCTGGTGGTGCCGCAGTGCCGATTGCGTTGTGGTGCTGGTTCCCGTTGGGTTATTCAGAGTGGACATCTCGGTCTACTGCTATAAATTCCGCTTTCCGGCCGGCCGTCCTGAGAATTGTCCCTTACTCAGCCAGAATTGTATTTTTTTTGTGCCGCTTCCGAACAGCAACAAGCAGTCGATATGAGCATTGACTTCCTGTCTGAGTTTCGGATTCGCGAAGGCGAGGTTGACATTCGCCAGGCTCGGTGGTACATTATCGCAGTAGGAGGCTCCACACATATTGCCACGACGACTGCTGACTCGTCAAGGCGTCGGCTCTCACAGCTGCGGCCGCTGGGGAGCACGTAGGTGAACTGTATCGTCAAGTAACGACTGGATTGCCCCTTGAAGACAGAAAGATCGTGCAACGAAGAATCAAAGAGGCACTCCTCAAAGCATCGATCCTTTGCGGAGTCCCGCGGTCGGCAGTAGCATTCAGTGCTCTCTATGCCATACTACCAGAGGACGAAATCGACACCTATAGCCCTAGGTAAGTACCTCCTGGCTTATGCTGATGCGTCGTGCTCCCCGCACCGATTGTTCTATTTTCTAACGGAGTCAAATGGAGAACTGAAAAGTTCAACAACCCCGGCGACGAGCAGAGAAGGGCTGAGAGAGGTCGTAAGTATTTTGACACCCTCTGGGGCGGACCTTCCGGGGGACAGGCGCAACGAGACCGGGCGAGTAAATATTATCCGGATGTTTGTATGACGCTCCGATTCGACGAACCCAGTTCTGGTGCTAAAGCATGGACGACTTGACAGATTTGCTCAATATAAAAACCAACTACGAGCTTTGGATGAGCGAGGACGCCATCCTGTCCAATATCGAAACTCAGCTGTGCAACGTGGCTTTGTTAATATGCAACAACTCACCCACCCAGATGCTGTGGCATCTGAACGGGCTGCTTCGGCATGGAGCAACCAGGGAAGAAGCCCAGTTTGCCCAAGATCTCGCTCTAGCAGTTGCACGGCAGTTCAATGCCAAAACCGGTGATATTACAAAGATCGAGGACCTCAAACTGTAAGTCTGAGCATCAAAGGGCCCGAGACTCATAGGCAATGTTAAGGTATCGAAGGTTCTGAGGGAAGGGCGTGTTGCGCGGCCTCTCTGATCAGTGTTGAGAGTTGGCAATTAGATAACTATGAAATCCATCGTTAGGACTACTAGCGGTGCATGAGCAATATATAATAATGCCAATTCCTCAACATCGCACCATAGCCTTCTCTTCTGGGCAGCCACATCAAAGTGCAATCTAATTAGGCTTTTGTATTTGTTTGCCTCGAGATCACGGTGTCGTAGGTTCTACTAACTAGTGTATACCATAGCTTTTCCCCCTCTCTTAGGCCATATTTTGTTCAACGATGTACCCCCTTTCTCCCATACAACTGAAAAAGAGTAATACGCAGGGTAGTGTGGGGGATGTGGAAAACCTGGGACTGTGTGCAGAGTCAGGTGTTTCGGAGTCCGGAGGTTTGAAGGGCCGGGTTCGGCATGAACTCCAGTCCGGCTGACCTCGTCGCCTGGGGTCAGTGTTTTAAACCGGGTCAAAGGTCCACAAAATTGCACAATCTCAGATAAAATGTTCCTACCTCTTGGAATAAACATTATAGACCAAATTCAAAGCTCCTAGCTGACGCCTCAACCCAATACAATTTGGACCAATTATGCCGGCCTCGAAAGTCGCGATCGTTACCGGGGCTGCGGGAGGCATAGGCATGGCGATGTCCAAGCTCCTGATCAGCAAAGGGTATCACGTTGTTCTCGCCGATATTGACGCTGAAGCAGGCGCCCAAAGCCAGGAAATATTGGGCTCGAGCTCCCTCTTTGTCCAGTGTGACCTGGCGGATTGGGACTCGCAAGCTGCGATGTTCAAGGAGGCGTACAATTGGCGTGGCCGAGTCGACATTTGTGTCGCCAATGCCGGGATCGACGAGAAGGAGCGGTTTTACACCATTCCTGAGGTTAACGCGGAGCCCCAAAAGCCGAATCTCAAGGTCATAGACGTCGACCTTTTGGCCGTCGTCTACGGCCTCAGGCTTTTCCGGCACTACTGGCGAAAGAGCGGCAACCCGGGACTCGGAAAAATGATCATCACCAGCAGCATGGCGGGAATTTACGCTTTCGTTGCAGCGCCCATGTATTGCGCTGCTAAACACGCGGTAACCTATCCTTGGAGCACACTCGTGCAGACATGCAGTGGCTGACCCAGTGACAGATTGTCGGGCTGGTGAGAGCATCATCGTTCAAGTTACTGCAGACAGAGTCTCTTACCATTAACGCCATCTGCCCCGGCCCAGTGGACACTGGAATCAGCGATATCATGAAGAAGGTGGTCCCAGCAGAGCATTTTACTCCCATGTCCGTGGTGTTGGGCGCGTTTGAGAAGTTTGTCGAGGAAAACGTGACTGGTCAAGTGGCAGAGTGCTCCAACAAGACCTTCTATTTGCGCGATCCGGTGGATTATTCGGACGATAACTCAAGATTCTTAATTGAGGATATGAAGCGCTTCTCATAAAGGAGACTATCAAAACAAGTCAGCTATCACGAGCCCACCGTTGCCCCCAAGTACCCTACGCTCTCCACCCGAATCGGGTCGGTGGTATAGGAAGAAAAGAATAAGGCAAAGGATGGTTAAAGCACAAGCTAAGGAGAGCTAAAGCACGAGGCTATCAGTTGACAAGGCTATCGATTAACGTCGCGTTATCCTTTTTCACGTAATAGAAAAGAGAGAAACCTATAAGAGTTTTCTCTCACCCGATTTGAGTGAGAGAGAACTCTTCTTTCTTATGCGTTAAGTTATTGTTAATAGAACTACGTAAGATAGAATAAGTGTTAGGACATCTACAATTACCCCGGAGCCCTACAGAACAAACACAGCAAAGGGACCAAAACGCTAAACGGGAGAGGAACGTATTGTAACAGAGCACTTCAGGGTTCGGCGTGCACGTGCAACAACCCACAGAGGCCTGTCCAGCAGATCGGAAATCGAGAACGCGTCTCTGGTTGACACTGACAGGGAAACACCAGCACCAACACCACCCCAGAGAGGTAGCAGCTAGCGCAGCGAGCGCCTAGCACGGCGATGGCATTGAGAAGGAGGAAAGCGCCGATGAAAGCCTCAAGAATAGGTAGACGACATTAAAAAAATGGAATACTCTATCTTCCTGTAAAGAATGGCCGCCTGCCAGCACTATAAACTGTCCTGCTCCCAGCGATCTATAAACATATATATGGAGATAGTTCCTATAGTTCTCTTCGTAGTCAACCTCGTTCACATAAAATTGAGTTCCTCGGTTTTATACCCTTTACGTATAGTCCATCCACTATACACATAGTCTTAGTCTCAGCTACATAGCCCCACTCCCATATCACTAGGTAAACCCGGTTGACTATCGCGGTGACACCTCTCGTGGCAAAAGCGGTTCGTAACATCCTAGTCATTGATTTTAACGTGGGCCTGCTCGTACATAGTCTTCTCAAAAAGATAAATCATCTCTTGAACTTGGGCATCCCCGGACGGCATCATCTGCCCACCATAAATACCGCACACTCCAGCGGCCCTGTCAAGGAACTAGAGCAAAAGAAAGAATTGAGGTCAGCACTGGCTCTAGATAAAGACAGTGGAAATCAGGTTCATATACCCAGAATAGATTTGGCATGCCGCTCCAATTCAGGCAGCCCGCTCTCCGATACGTCACACCCTCCAGGCTGACGTCCTCTCTGGTCAGCAGGCCACCGAGGCCCCAGTCATAGCGAACACCCGGTGGAAACCGACCGATAGCACAGGGGCCTCTGGTTGGTCGACTGTCGTAGAGAGCCTGAAGGGCAGAGCGACTGTCCTCGCTAAGCTGTGGTTGAAACATCATTGCCGTCGTTTCTTTCTTGAGCAACTTTCCGTCATCGACCAGAATGCTGTGCAAAACTCTCAGGTACGAGGGCATAGACGCGTAGAGCCCCTGTCCACCCATCTCTGTCTGAGCCGCCGAGTGCATGTCCGGTCCCGAATATGCGCGAGCTGTGCCATTGGAATCCGTAGGGTCTCGGATGCTCATGCTGACCAGTCGTGCCGCCAGCTCCGGCTTCTTTCTGGGCCAGTAGGTGATGTCGGAGATGCCAAGTGGAGCGAAGATATTGTTCTGGCAATATGTTTCGAGGTCTACATTGGCCACTCTCGACACCAGGACGCCAGCCCAATCCAAGCCAGTGCTGTACTTCCACGATGTCCCCGGCTCAAACACGAGGGGCAAGTTGTAACTCTCGACGACGTTCTTGGGAGGTCCAGCCGCACCCAGGGACGCGTGATATTCCTGAAGGACTGGTGACATGAACGTGTACGCAAGCCCCGACGAATGTGTAAGAAGGTGGCTATTGGTGCAGGTCAGTACTCTGTCTAGGACCATGAGATACGGAAAAGGATCACCGCAGAGTGATGGGATTCTGTCGCTGCGTAAACACGGGCTTCCCATTCTCCATTCCTATCAAGATATGATTCTCGGCGAGTTCTGGCAGAATTCTGGCGACATCCTCGTCTAGGCCGACTTGACCTCGCTCAAAAAGTTGCAGGACCGCGATAGTTGTGATCAACTTTGACGAGCTGAAGAGGGCAAAAATACTGTCCATTTCAAGAGGCTCCTCCTTGCCTTCTGCAAGGGATCGGACTCCGAAAGCCTTTGCGTAAGTGAAGCTCCCCGATCTATCAGACGCCACCAACACCGCGCCGGGAATCTTGCCCGCGGAGACCGCGGCCACAAATGCTTCTTCGAGAGCCTGCATGGTCAAGATGTATCACTTTGGCTGTAGAAGGGCTGGTCTAAACAGACTCGTTGCAGCTGATGCACGTCAGAAGAGTCGTCTAATCGAGACGGTAGATCCGCTTCTGTCTCTGAGTGAGTGCCAAATTGCCTTGTATCTTGCGAACTGCTGCTGAAGCGACAAATTACAGCCCCTGATGGTTGACGGTTGACCATGTTCCTAGCCATGGTGCTGGTATATCGACGAAATTTATTGCGACTGTTTTGCCGCCATAATTCTGCTATTGCCGAATAGCTTCAAAAAGAGGGAAACCCCAGACCCCTCCCCATTGAACGAGCTAGGCTTCCCAAGGATGGATCGCGATGGGTGAGGCGTCAATGTGGGCTCTGGTTTCTCCAAACAGGCTCAGAGCACAGGGGGCGCTAGTCTCGCACACAAGACTGGATGTTGCAGCAATGCTCCCCCCTTTTCTCATGTCCATCCCCCACAGCGAGTTGAACGCCTTGGCCTCGCTCAATCCAATGTGTTCGTGCGTCCGTGCGCCTTTCGCCCAGCATGGAGAATTGGCCACCCCCACTTAGCGCCAAATTACCCCGCTACCCCACTACCCTGCTTCCACATTGCATGCCTTATATTTATGTTTATTGAAACCTAAATACTCTAGCTCACACTTCGCGCAAATGGAGCTCGCATTACTCAGCTTCTCTCGCAGTATCGCACTGTTTCCGGAGCGTACCCCAATCAGCAGGCCAAGGGCCATATCAAGGGAGCCTTCTGACCCTGTTCTCGGCCCTGGAGTGCATATGCTTGGACATGTCTATCGGGAGCGACTACTACTGGACTACACCTGGACAGAAGCGGGCAAACTAGAGACGTGCGGAAATATGCCCGTTCAGTTCCTCCCAGGGGGAATTATACAGGCGGGGCGCTTGACAACAATGTGCTCGTTTGACTAGGATTTGTCATGACCATCGGTGACAATCGCTCAAGCCTCCTGAATTGAGCTAGTTTCAATGCGATGCATAACCATGCGCTCCTTGTGCCCGGCAGGAACTATACGCTTCAGGGCTTAATTGGCATATTCCCTCAACGGCTCTGCCTTCAGGTTTGGCCATTCTTCCCCCGTGGAGGACTAACATCTAGAGATCGAAAATGCAGCTGTGCTGAATTGTACTCAGGTTCCGTCGCGCCGACGACTTCATCATACTATACCAATATCCCCATTGTGCCTCATCAGGGCCAGATCTGAACTCGAGCTACGCGTCAGCTATTATTTCGACACATAGGCCTGGTGCAGGGTCCGAAACGATTGCTTTCATCGCGGCAATCTCTTGACCCACGCCCAGGCTCGCCCATGTAAAGGGGTTCATCGGATTGGATGTCGGCGGGTGAGCGAAACTCCACCTCATCCGAGGGGGGAGAAGTGGAGAAGTGGACCCCGGCGGAGGGCTTAGCCGGGGAATATTTGCGGGGGAGGGCTGGTAACCTCTGGCCACAGAGTCCCTTGCTCGCATTAGCTCGCGCGTTACTGGGGTTGACTTTCCAATGAAAGAGGCGAGATTTGCTCATGACGTGCCAAGCCTGTGGCTAAAGTAGTCAGCACGTTCAAATATCGCCATTTGAAGAGTATGAGAATTCCACACTCTTAATGAGACAATGCACTTGTTTTACTACGTGGCTAGATCTTTCAAGAGCTCACCTACCTACTAGAGCTCGCATTATTTTCTAGGCCTTCTGAGATGTGGTGGAAGTTGAAAGGTGGAGGCTTGAATAACTCAGGTGTCCCACTGATTTAGGATGCCAGTGCCAGGGCTCTCTTCTGGCATCCCACCTAGCCGAGACCAGTACCAAACGGGCAGCGCTATTTCTTGGTTTTTTTTCCAGTTTATAAGACCGAGTCTCCCACCTCGCAAGATGCTGAGACCGCCCTGCAACTTTCCTTTCCCTTTCCCTCATTCTCCGTACACAAGCACCGCGCATCCGGCCTTAACGTCTTTGATCCCGTTGCAATCCCTCAACATGGGACTCGGAGTGCTTGAGCCCAATACAAGTTTGGAGCATGTGCCAGGCACGGCCCTCCTCCAAGACGCCATTCCTACGGAAACTGCTCATCTGAAGAAGGGAACAGGCCACGACACTGATGTTGTCCTGGTCCCCCAACCGTCTAGCAGCCAGAATGATCCGCTTAACTGGCCGTTGTGGCAGCGAGACCTGATTTTGGTTTTGTTTTGCTACCTCACCAATATCTGTGTCGGCGCGTATGTCGCCCTGCCGAAGTATTGCAAAGTATTGTGCTTACTGTGCTCAGCATTGGCCCCTTGATTGGCGTCCTAGCCCTCGACATGGTCCAAGCCTTTCACATCGACTTCCAAAAGGTCACCTTGCTCTCCGGATATCAACTGGCCCTTGTCGGTGCGATTGCTCCCCTCGTGGCGGCACTGAGTCACAAATACGGCAAGCGTCCTTGGTTCCTCACATCCATGGTCTTCTTGTTCGCCGGAACCATCTGGTGCGCCAAAGCCACGTCGTATGACTCTATGGTTGGTGGCCGCCTGATTCAAGGTGTGGGCACCGCCATCTTCGAAAGCGTCACCTTTACGCTCATCGGGGACCTCTACTTTGTCCATCAGAGAGGCTCGCGCATGGCCATCTACGTTGTCGCTCAAGTCGCGCTCGTCCTTCTCCCGTCCCTCCTCACCGGAGTCGTCTCCGTCAACCTTGGCTGGCGGTGGTGTTTCTGGTTATTAGCAATTTTTCTGGGTATTGGCTTGGTCCTCGTTATCCTTTTCGGATGGGAGACAGCCTACAATCGGAATCAACTTTACGATGTCGATACCTCATCCCATGATGTAAGTTGCTCTGTTGGTCCACTGGGGCTTTGCTTACCAGGTGAAGAATATACATGTCATAGAAGAACTCAGAAGCGGCAAAACAGTCGACGAAGCTGGCGTGGCCGCTCATCTAGAAAGAACAATCTCGTCAAATACCGGAGGCAGTGTCGTGCGAGACTCCTTCTTAAAGCGAATGAAGCCTTGGTCAACTACATATAGCAACGAGTCTTTGATCCAACTGATTTTTCGTCCGTTTTACATATTGCTCAACCCAGTCATCCTCTGGGCTGTCTTGCTGATTTCCTTCTTCCAGCTGTGGAATGTTGTCATCAACTTCATGCTGGGACAACTATTTGGACCGCCACCTTACCTACTCAACACAGCGCAACTAGGATATATTGGAGCTGGTCCCATGGTTGGCGGATGCATCACTTGTCTTCTCTTTGGAGCAGTGTCTGACCGAATCGCCAAGAAGGCTAGCACTCGAAATGATGGAATATATGAACCTGAATTTCGCCTTATGACAATGGGCCTCGCACCGATTCTGAGCACAATTGGATACTTCTGTTTTGGTCCTTTTGCCGCCGAGGGTAAAAGTCCAGTCATTATGTCGGTCCTCTGGGGTGTTGGCTTTGCTAGCTGCGTGGTTGTCACAGCTTCTCTGGGAAGCTACTTGGTGGACGCTTATCGCAATGTCAGCATCGAAGTCTTTGTCGTCTCGATGTCTGTCAAGAATTTTATGTTCTTCGGATTCTCCTGTAAGTCGAGAGACGCGTTATTTGAGCGCCTTTGACCGAAGTTGATCGCTGACCTCAACACCAGTCTTCCTCAACCAATGGCTTGCCAAATGGGGACCAGAAAAAGTCTTCAACACCATTGCAGGAATCTCTTTGGCTTTCTGCGCCACCACGATTATCGTCTATATCTATGGCAAGAAAGTCCGGGCTTGGTGGCACAAGCATGATATTTTCGACAAATTGGAACGCCATCAGTAATTGAAAAGTATTGGTTCGAAGGAGGACTAAACGCAGGCTCCCAGGCAAGTGGGTGAAATCTCGATAGGATTGCTTCGCTAGGGAGATGTGAGCCTGCCTGTGTTTGCTCTGCTTTGTTATTAGCTCTTCGAAATTCCTACCAATACACTCGCGCTTATTGTGCCTAAGGTTGTTGGCCCCGTGAGGTCCCAACCCACCAGCTTCAGTTGACTGGGCAACTCATCCATGATTGACCTCACCTTCAGAAACGTTCTATGCCATGGTAGAAGCCTCTAGGGTAATCAAGTTCAATAGTTTCACTCTCTGCAGAAGGCGAACGCACCCGCGAGTCGAGGCGTTACATCTCTACCTCCCTTCTTTCCTTGTTCCGAGCTTTCGTTCACGAAGAGGCTTAACCTCTGAGGTTTCAGTAGTATCTTTCACTGGTACGAGTCCAGCGACATGGTGCTCGACATCCTAAAAGCATTGCACGCCGTGCTGCCAAAAGGTGCCTCCCCGCAGGGAGGCGATGCGGTGATTTTTACTCGTAATAAGCAAGGTACAACGATCCCCATGTGGGATGCCTCCCCCCCACAGATCAGGATCCACTTAGCGCTTTGCGGGGGAACGGAGAACAGTCGAGCTTCTCCCCGGGAACCATGGGTTATTCTCTATCAAAAGATTTGTTGGACTTCTTTGATGTGGACCAGACATCACCGTCGGTCTGCCCTGCTAATTCACACCAGTAATTCTAGAGACCTACCCAGGACGGCACGCGCCTTGAGACAAGATCAAGAGACAAACATGGGTGTGCAATATCCGATTCCTGTGGCAGAGGATGCGCCATTTCCTCTGCAAAACATTCCCTTTGGAATTTTCTCTACAGATTCGGATGTAAGACGACACTCATCTACCAAGGCTCAACAGCAATGCTGATGAAAGTCAACTAGCCAACTCCTCGAGTCGGGACCATCATTGGAGACCAGATTATTGACGTCAACTTGCTTGCACGTCAGGGCGCCTTTGACAACCTGTCTATTCAAGACCTGTCTACTCTCCGAGCAGCTTTATTAGCACAAACTCTGAACCATTTTGCCTCGCTGCCTCGATCTGTGCGTTCGTCAACTCGTCAGCGTTTAATTGACTTGTTAGAGGAACCATCTTCAATTCTGTTCAAGGACAAGGAAATCAATTCTAGCGCTTTCACCAACGAAAAAGAAGCGAAATTGCACCTTCCACTGCAAATCGGTGCCTTTGCCGATTTTCTCTGCTCCGAGACGCACCATGACAACGTAAGTGTAGTATACTCCCTAAAGACTGACGGGAGGGTATGTTCGCACAAGTGAGCTAATTCAAGGTGCTAGGGCAACCGCATGTCTGGAAAATCAATACCCGCCTTCTACCATTTTCCCCCAATGTACACGGGCCGTACAACATCCATTGTTCCCAGCGGACAATCGATTAAACGTCCTAAAGGAATGGTCATGAGGCCGCCGGGGTCCAAAGACGGTCCCAAGTTTCAGTTCAAAACTTCCACCAAGATGGACTATGAAGTCGAGATAGGTGTTTTCATTTCTAAGCCGATTCCTTTCGGCCAACGGATCTCGGCAGACGAAGCGAAAGAGCACATTTTTGGTCTTGTTCTCTTGAACGACTGGTCGGCAAGAGACATTCAATTTGGCGAGATGATCCCGATGGGACCGAGCAATGGCAAGGCCACAGCAACCACGATCAGCCCTTGGGTCGTCATGCCTGATGCGCTGGGAGATGCCCAGGTGGGATTTGTGTCAGAGAAAGCAAAAGCTGATATCTCGTCGCATCCTCCTCACCTACGACATGCCGTCGGCGACATGGAGGTTTCCTGGGACATTGTCCTAGAAGCTACGGTGTCGGGCCCTAACGAGCCACCAACTTTGGTCTGCCGCTCCAACTTGAAGGATTTGTACTGGTCACCAGGTCAAATGTTGGCGCACTGGGTGTCCGCAGGGAGTGGAGCAAACACGGGAGATTTGCTGGGTACGGGAACGGCTTCTTCTCCGGGACACACCGACGAGATTCCAACATTAGGCTGCCTCTTCGAACTGACCGAAGGTGGCCAGAAGCCCTTCAAGTTGCGAAGCGGTAGAGAACTGAGATGGCTTGAAGACGGAGATGAGGTCGTTTTGACCGGCTGGGCCAAGGGCAAAGACGGGAAAAGGATTGGTTTTGGGCAGGCTGCCGGATGCCTGCTGCCATCCGACTAAAACAGACAAAAACGTAGGAGGAAGGCTCCGAGCTAGCTCGCTCTGTTTAGTTGGCTCAACCTAATTATATCATGCCGTAGTCCATCGACGTCTTTTTACATTAGGTTTTTTCTCCTATCAATGGTATCCCATTCCACCATCTTAGTGGCTCGGACAGCATTCTCTTTAGAGTTCCGATGGATGCTAGAGCTAACTTTGAGCTGCTAGAATTACCAGCTGCAAGTATCTAGAGTCGTGATTGATGACCACGAGACTCGGTTGACAACGAGGCAATATATCGTATTATTATTGCCACCAGACTTGGCCCCTGCCCATGAACGAGGTTGGCTGGATATGTCTGACGAGCTAATTTCTGAATTTCCACATTTAATGTGATCCGATGTTATTAAGCTCATGGTTGTCTTTCCAAGACGGAGGATCAGAGCTGCAAAGACCACTCACCAAGCCGACTACTTGGCCAAGACGCGGTAAAGACTCATGGCCTGGTCTCTAACGGAGGGCGTCTCATCACATAACAATCTCTGGAGGCTCCTGGCTCTCAAGATTCAAACGACAACGGAAGTCGCATCGCTGACTCTGGGATATTTGGGCGTCCGCTCCGATGATGATGCTCCTTGGCGGGGATTTTTACACCGAACGCACGACGCAAATGAACTCGTGCTCCAGTCCGTTAGGTGGAGGCCGACAGACAAAGGCAAATCCCTCATCGCACAAATTTGCTGGTAGCGGTATCAGCTGTTGTCATTTTAAGCTTTGGAGAACAAAAATCAGGTCTAGTTCGCTTCGCATGGTCTGGTGATACTGCGATGCACAACCATTTGCAAATGAATATTTTACATAGTCAAACTCATGCCTTTTGGCTATACGATAAACGCCTCAGAATGACTGAATCAATCAACTGGAATCTTGCCAAGTTGCCTATACTGTCTCAAAAATTCCGTAATACCACAGTTTATCGACCTCGAAGCGGTAGCAAAACATCTTGAAGTTGCTTTCGAAACTCTTGGGGAGCATCATTTTACTCAGGATGCTCTTTGGCGTGACACCTTTGCCATGACTGGGACATTACGGTCGCTCTATTCGTCCGGGTCGATTGCATAGCATAGGAAGAGACGGCGAGAGCTCGCAAACCATCCGACTTCAAGGCTAAAGGAGTCTCGCACCTCGTGCGTGTCAGGCATCATGCTTAGGCTGAAGTCAGATTCGCATTCAAGATAAGCGGAACCACAGCAGCTCAAAACTACGGGTATGCCGGTCTTGTACCCGACGAGACCGAGAAATGGAGAATTTGGGTGCTGCAACCGATTCTCGAGCAGCTGGAAGGACAACCAAACGCAGAGGTGCTGCAACCAGGGATCGACAGCCGGCTAGACGGCATCGCCGGCAAGCCTGTCCTCGATGGCGCTCGACAAGACGTCTCCCTGCCCGGGTAAGATATCGAACCGTTAAGTGCCGAATGGCGATGCAAAATTCACTGAACCGGGAGACAATGGCGCCTTGACGAATAGTTCTGCTAACGCTTCACAGGTCGACTGTGTAATTGTCGGCGGCGGACAAGCTGAACTCAGTCCTGCTGGTTGATTGAAAGCTCTCGCAGTATCTTACATTGTCCTCGAGAAACATGCTGCCGTGGGGGACAACTGGGCTAGAAGGTAGGACTCTATAGAACGTACGTGGGACTCAAAGAACAACTTCTCTACTATACTAAACTTTAGCCAGTCCACACTATTAGGGAATTCGGTTGATCAGGTCAGCCTTAGAGCACCCCAGAGTGGGATGCTGACGGTTCGTAGCTTATTTACCTTCCCGAAAAGGACAACGTCAACGATCGTCCCAGGCCGGCTTTTGCGACGGAGCGAATTCTGATCCTCAACAGGGTGGCGCTCGTCGAACTGAACGGAAGAGTCTATGTGGCGCCACCGAGAACAATAGTAACCACCGATCTGGAGGTGCCACATACGTGTACCGTGTGCCCAGCTGGTGTTTCATTCTCAGAAGCCCTGATGCTTCGAGTAGACTCTGTCGACACGGATCCCACAGAGATAGAGACAACAAGCCCGTCTAACGCCGTCCCTGCATCCAATGGGCCTTTTTTATGATAGTCTACGAGTACGAAGACCCCACGGGCTTCTTTCCATGGACCAGATAGAGATGTTGCAGGAGGTGAAGAAGGATACGTCAGGTGCAAGGATTTGGCAAGAATTCAATTTCCGCAAATGGTTGCGCACGCAGTCGACAAGAAGGGTTGGTTTATCCACGGTAGGCATGTGTGGAATCTTGGGCAATTGGCGTGGTGCAAGTACGGCGCGAGGTTTTCTAACTAGACGATGGATATACAATCTTTCACAAACGCCCTCATTTTTCCAATTCCGAGAAGCCTCTTCGCCGTGAGTAAAGTCCTAGCTAGCTTGGAAACAGCAGAGCCTGCTCGTTCTTCCTGGCCTGCACATTCCGTTTGTTGATGATTTCAACCTGCATCCGCAGCCTCCACGGCAAATCCATCTTTTCCATGAAAACCTCCAGGACCTGGAGTCCAGTCAGGCAACAAATCTCACCGCATAGTAATTTCTATGCCAGAAAAAAGGGGCTAAGACAGACCTGGATAGAACTTGGGCTTTGATACTCAGGCAAGCTGACGACCTCGTCAAATTCCTTTTTGGTACGGACCTTCCGAGAGCAAGCTCGACCATTTTTGGCTCCGAAGAAATCGAGCATGGCAGAGTGATTCCAGGTAGATATATCATTGTATGCTTCGGTTGTTGTTAGCCCAACACCGTCTTTTGCTGCGACAGTAATCACGCAAGCAGTTTTCACAAGAACGGCACACTATATACATACCTTGTTCCGGTCCGTGGATCGCCCTCTCAATTGTATATCCGTTGTTGTTGATAACCACGCTGTTCAAGTTAATTACAACGTACTTTCCTGAACCACAGGGCCCTTACATAATGATGTTCTTCAATCCTAATCTCACCATAGTTCCGATTTCCTGCACCGTTAGCTGTAGGCTCCCGTCGCCGACCACGAGAATCACTCTTCCCTGGCCGCCTTGCTCGCAGATGGCAACAGCGGCCCCTAAGCAAGCTGGAACAGTGTACCCGATACTCCCGTAGTACACTTGCGTCAGATATGTCACGTCTTTGGGTAGATAGGCGTCGGGGAGGCCAAATTGGGCCGTGCCCGATTCTGCGATGAGAATATCCCCTGGCCGACAGAATTCCCCGAAGCGCGTCCAAATCCAAGATTGTGTAATGATTTCTGCGTCTGCGTCTTTGGCTGGAGACATCGGTACTCTCCCAGGTAGGACAGGCCGCGGGAGTTTCGACTTATCAATCGTCTCCAGGAGAGTCGACAAAACTGGCTAAAATTAGCAATCTGGTTATTAGTCGGGTCAAATACAGCCACTTACACGACACAAGCCCAATATTTCGATGCACAACACCGCCGACGACAACATGGTGTGGGTGAATGGCGATTATCTTTTGTTCTGCTATGTTGCGAGTGTGGCCTCCTGTATTGGAGTCTGACAAAATTGGCCCGAGGTCGAACACGAGATCGCTCTGTTGCTCGATCACTTCACACACGCCCGGAATGGAGACTTGTCCATTATAGATTCCGCAGAAATAGGGCTTGGTCTCATCGATGATGCTTTTACCCATCGACGTCGAAAATGTAGGGAACCGCAGGACATCTACCAGTTTACGAGTAACGTTCTTTCCCGAATGGCGCGCGGTCAACGCATCGACAATGACTGTCGGGGTCTTCGCTTTGTAGAGCAGGGATAGGGTAGCAGCAATGGCAGATGCTTTGTTGATTTCGTCCGTCAGAGGTGCCAGATCGATTCGAGACAGTGTCGGAGCAGGAACCAGACGATGAACCATATCCGCAGGGACAAATATGTACACCGGCAGTGACTGGGCTATGCATTCATACACGACTCTCTAATGACCATGTCAGCTGAAAGCCAAACCTATCTTTCTAGACCGTACATCGATTTCACGCGCCGCGATTGCGGGATTGGTCAACCAACAATGCGCTGCTCGGACGTGCTGTGATGTCTTCTCGTAGACCTTTTTGCTTTCGTTAGCCGTGACGAAGGATCAAGCCGGCAACCAACGTTCATTTACCTTGTGATCAGGAGATGGTCCCAAGCAGTGGTGGATCATGAGGCGCTCCTCATGAGCCGCAATTGGGGTGGTTCCAACAATGTGTATTACTTTAACTTGTTCTGTGTATGCCCCGGCAATGCCATTAAGAGCGCTCAATTCTCCAACCCCCATGGTTGTGACCACTATTTCGCTCATGAGTAATGATTTGGGGAGTTGCGCTGAAGATACTTACCAACTCCTGGAGATCCGCTCACTCTACAATATGCGTCCGCCGCGTAAGCGGCATTGAGTTCGTTTGCATTGCCAACTTAACGAAGACATCAGTTCGGTGCTTAAAAAGGGAATCGTAGGAATTCACTCCAAGTCAAGTCTTCAACTGCATCAATGTAGTCAAGTAACTCAAGATTCATATCACCGGGAACGCCCATGATACTTCGAATATTGAGGCCACGGATCCTAAATCCTAGCATAAACAAACGGTATATTATTCTGTTCTCCACGGACCTTACTTTTGCCATAATAGAAGTCCCAAAGGGATTCCTTGAGATGCCATGGTGGAGCAATGCTTCACTCGCAAACCCTAGATGTCAGTATTCTGAGACAGAGACTTGTATCGTAGTATGCAGAAGACTGTCTGAGCCAGCGACGACGGCAGCCGAAGCGTCGAGAGGATCTTTGTTTTGTGGTAACCGACGGCTGTACCAGGGTCAGTCACAATCGGGCTTAGCGCGTCCTGAAACACTTATCCAGACAGGCCCAGAGGACCAAGCTCACAGACAACGCCGGTAAAGGCCGATGTGGGAGACAGTCTTTCTGCTTCGCTACGAGGCGAAACTGTCTTCGTTTTGGAGTTCCCCCACCTGAAGGAACGGCGTGCGCGGGGGATGGGGTTATATGGATCTGGGTGGTCAATAACACAATGTTCCAACTGATTGTGGCAGGAGAGAATCAAGCAGCCAATCACGGGTCTGAACGGGAATCAACTCCTCAAAGGGTTGAAGCCCACGTCAACAAGTCGCTCTGGATTAGTTTTGCGCAGGATCGACGAGAGCCATAATGGTATGGACAGTGGAATTATTTTCTTTTGTCAGTCCGATGTCGCTGTCGTCGCTTTGGTTGCCAACGTCCAAAAGGAGATATCGAGCGCGCTTTCCTTTGGACAAAGTGCATACCATAATCTAAAAGCATACCATAATCTAAGCTGAGCATTGTTCGTAAATGGGCACTAAGGGTATAGCTTTTAGTGAGATGCATAACGTCGAGAGCAATAGTGGCTCCAAATTTGCTCTCGACCGTTTTTATTCATGAGGCTATCATGCATTCGGCCGCACAAATAGTCTCGCATTGGCTTTCCCCTGCTCGAGTCGATGCAATGACTCCACTAAGCTGCCAAAGGGCACCTCTTCCACTTGAGGAGTCAACTTGCCCTGCGCAATGAGGTCGAAGATGGCCGACAGCTCTTCTTTACGTCCACCAAGAGATCCCCGGATCTCAATATTCTTCATCACGATCAAGCCTGCGGGGAGCTTCATGTCGGACTCGCCCATACCTACTAGCACAATGCGTCCCTCCCTCTTCACAGCATTGATGGCGGCAAGCATGGTAGCGTTGAGGCCAACAAAATCAAAGACAATGTCAAAAGTGACATCCTTGACCTCGTCAATGCTCTTATAACAGGCCTTGGCACCGGCTTCGTACGCTGCTGCGAACTTTTCTTGATTAATGTCGAAACCGTACACGGTTGCCCCCTGAAGACACGCCACCCGCAGTCCCGTCGACCCAAGGCCGCCGAGTCCCAGGACTCCCACGGTCATGGATGAAGTCACTTCGCCTGTGCCCACGACTGCATGGTAAGCCGATGCCATGGCATCAACTGCAATACAAGCTTTTTCGTAGCTGAGGCTATCTGGAAGAGGCACGATGGTGTGTTTAGGCGTAACAGCGTATTCGGCGTAACCACCGTTGAAATCCAGGCCGATGGCAGTTGCAGGTGCGATCAACGCCACACCGACCCTCTGACCGACGTGGAATTCGGTCACGTCCTTTCCCAGCGCCGTGATTTGGGCGGAAATCTCGTGGCCCAGAGTGATGGGTCGATTCTTAACCCATTGCGACCCTGTGCCGTCAAGAATATGGCAGTCGGAATGGCAAAGCCCGCAGGCTTTGATTTGGATCTGGACCTCGTCCGCACCAGGTTGTGGGATTGGAAGGTCTCTCAAGATGAGCCCTGACCCTGGACCGTCCCATTGATAGGCTTTCATCATTTCAGGCTGCAAGAAAATACAATTTTGGAGCACTTCAGGTTTGCGTCGCGGCGTGGTGGCATAACGCGTCCTTCGGGGTCACGGCGAGGAGGCCTTTAAAGGCCACGGCGTTTTGGTAAACCATCCAACTACGGTTCCATTGGCAGAGCGGCACTGCTCCGTGTTTTCGGAGGATCCTGGTGTCTGGAGTGCGAGCATCCCACAACCATGTTCCAACCCCGCAGTGCGACTACATCATACTGGGGGACAGTGGATCGTGGTCCATCCAATGTGACATTTTTCCGGGATTTTGGATTGGTGTTTAGGGAGCAACTCCGCAAGGCCCGTCGTACTTTAACTTATCATTGTCAACAATGCATTATCGTCCAGCCGCCCACTACCGCGACCTCCGTAGTTCGGCCAATCATCTCTGAAGCGGTCAAGTCCTGGTTGTCCAGAATCAAGTGCATGAAGAGAGAATGCTACCGCTGATTAATGGCCGAGTGGGGGTAAGACGAGCTGAGCCGTTGCATGCAGGAATCGCAGGGGACAAAAGGAAACTTACGAACGGATCGAGAGCAACTTGCGGGCGCGGATACTGTTTGAATTGATCAAAATGGGTCTTGAAGATACGTCAAAGATCGAAGCAGGTAATCTCTTCAAAGTCAATGGTCTTGTTGCTGTGATCACGGGTGGTGGCTCTGGTAAGTGACCACCCACTATTTGCCCTTCAAAGAGGACTTCAGTCCTCATCGATGCTAATTTCCACATCGACTGCAAAGAAGACTACTAGGACTGACCGAGGACTTCGATAGGACTTGGTCGAATGATGGCGAGAGCCCTCGCTGCTAATGGTGCCTCCAAAGTTTTTGTCATTGGCCGCCGAGAAGGTCCGTTGAACGAGGCTGCCAGCTCTGTACCTGGAGGGACTATCGTCCCCATCGTTGGCGATGTTACGTCTAAAGATTCGTTGCAGGTCTGCGTAGATCAAGTCAAGCAATATGTCGACGCAGTGGATGTGCTGATTGCCAACTCGGGAGTATCGGGCCCGTCAGTTCCAGTCCTAGACGAGAACCAGGAAAGCATTCCTCTCTTGCAGTTGGCCAAAAATATGTGGAACCCCAGTCCTGAGGCGATTAACTCAACCTATGCTGTCAACATCACGGGCGTCCACTTCACTGTGGCAGCATTCTTACCATTGCTACACGAAGCAAATCTGAAAAGACCTCAACCGCCGAGCCTGGAGAATTTCAAGCCTCGACCCCAGATCATCACCGTTGGATCTGTTGGAGCATTCAGACGCAATCCCCTAGCCAACCTGTCGTACGGTCCCAGCAAGGCTGGCGTGACTCACCTCACCAAGTCACTCGCCACGACCCTGGTACCATATGATATTAGAGCCAATGTGATTTGTCCAGGCTTCTACTACAGCGAAATGACGCATGACATGTTCAAAGGTTACTAGCTCCCTGATGATCTGCTTGCGCCATTTTTCGTAGCGTTTCAGAACGTCCAAATTGACTTGTAACAGCCCAGGGTAAACTCGGGATTCACGACACTGAAGGCACCTTTCCGAAAGCGGCTCTGCCTGCTACGCGAGCTGGGAACGAACAAGACTTGGCCGGAGTGGTTTTGTGGCTTTGTTCCAGGGGTGGTGCCTATGTCAATGGTTGTACCGTGGTGACGGATGGCGGCCTGTTGTCCATCTCCCCGGCTTCGTACTAGAAGTTGAGGAATTAAGATTGTACTGGAGCTGGGGTCAAACACCTAGGGCAGTCCGCGCGGGCGAACAAAGATCTGACTAGTTTACATGCCCCTTGCCTTGACCGTAAACTGTTCAAAGCTAAGCCTAGCAAGGATGTCGACTAATATATTAGTTGAGCTGTAGTTCTATACAGTGTAACAGAACACTTCAGGGTTTGCTATACACGTGCAACAGCGCACAGGGGCTTGTCCGGCAGGTTGGGAATCGAGAACGCGGTTCTTGTCGGCGCTGACAAGACAACACCACCAGCAGCACCACCCTCACAGAGGCATCGGCTAGGGAAACGAGCGCCTAGCACGGCGGCGGCGTCGAGAAGTGAGAAAATACTCAGGAATCGATAAGACAGCATCAAAAGCCATAGAGTACTCTGCTTAAAACAGTAAAGAATTGCACACGGCCAGCACTGTGAAGCACGCCAGCAACGATTACCTGCTGACACAGTCATGATCCTTCGGCGCAGGCTGTCACTTTTTTTTCCCGCTTGCTGTATTCTGAATTCTCAGTGGCATCTTCTTGTCTTAAAAACTCTCATCCACAGCCAGGATACTAACCCATTTTTGTCCTGACATGTCGTCAGCTAAATTGCCTTCCTGCTACCTCCCCATTGTAGCACTACACAGTCACTTTGCCTTGCTACAATAGAACCTTCTACGAAGAAACTGGATCCTCCACAATCTGATCTCACTTGCAGATTCACGTTTATCGCCTTGTATATAAATTAGTTGAAGGCCTCGACCCTGCTTGTGACTTTTTATGCTCCTGGTTGATGGAAGACCTCCGCTTTGGTAAGGTCTACACTGAGAAAGCGTGCACACTCGTCGCAATAGTCGACCGGCTCGCGCAGGTACATTTTCTTGTTAGAACATTCGATGACAGCCCCAGAAATACCCTCGTCAATGCTCATGTCGAAGGCATCCATCAGGAGTTGGATGGGTGTCAAACAATCTTTTGGGATGTGTTTCAGCATATCCGCGTCGATACCCGTCAGGACTGGTCCAGGACAGATGGCATTCAATGTGATGCCCTCATTTTTGAGCAGCCGCTGGCCGGCTGATCTAACCAAGCCAATAACCTATACAAGGGTCAGAAATTTGACGATTCTGAACCGTCTCCAGTCCCAAACTTGACTTACCCCGTGCTTTGCTGCCGAGTAGGTCGGACGGAAATGCAGAGGATAAAGACCAGACTGGCTGGCGGTGACAACTATCTTGCCCTTGCCCTTGCCGCCCGTCTTCTGATGATAATATCGGAACAGCGTTAGACCGTAGAACACAGCGAGAAGATCTACCTCGAGTGTCGCAAGATTCGGCTTTTTTAACACGTCCGACTGGTCGATCGACAACTCATACACTGGCTCAATCGAGGCTATACCAGCATTGGCCGCGAGAAAATCAATCTGTCCAGCCCACTCGTACGCCTTCTTGAACAATTCAGCCTGTGCGTCCCAGTCTGTCACATCGGCTTTCACAAAGAGAAAGTTGGGTCCAAGCTCCGTCTGAAGTTCTGCTCCTCGTTCGGCATTCAAGTCAGCCACCACGACCTTGAAACCACGTTGAAGAAGATGTCGCGCGAGAGCAAGGCCAATTCCACTCGCACCCCCAGTCACCAGACCTATGTTGCTGGAGGTCGTCATTTGCTACGGAAGCCGGAAAAACGTAGTGCTGCTGGATGGCGGAAAAATCGTTTTCCATAGAGCTAGGAAGCCTTTTCAGGTCGGCCAGACTGTGTGCACAACAACTGATTAGTTCATGTAACCCTGCTTCAACCGCTGAAGCTCCTCGGCCTGAAGGATAGGAGAGCTCTGCTCAACGTGCCCTCCACACAATTGGTAAGGGTCTCTAATGCCCTCCACCCTCCCCACTCCGTGAAAGGTGGGAAGTGGGGGGATGTTTTGGCACCCAGAGTTGCTCCGCATTTGCGCGTTAGGAAACAGCGAGATGAGCCTTGTTATGTGACTCCGTCCAATACTAGGGTGACCAGGATTCCAGATGGGTGAGGAGTAAACCCCTGTGCTAGAGGGGTTTGGAAGGCTCCTATTTCAAACCACTTTCTCTCCCTTCCCGGCCCTCCAAGCAAGATACCTCTCCGCACTCACACATCTGGAGGCAAAGTACCTAGATATTCGGCTTCTCGATGCGCCTCACGAGACGATTGTCTCCCACACCGAGTTCAATAACAGATCTCGCCCATCTCGCGCCATACAAAGTCACTGAGAGATTTATTGTCCCAGCATCAGTGCAGTGATCCAAGATGGCTTTCATATCCGGCATGCTGGCTCTCGCAGCCATAACCGTGGCGCTCGTCATTCACAAGGTCATATCCGACATTCGATTCAACAGGAAATACAGGTTTCCCCCCTCGCCTCCTGGAAAACCTTTCGTCGGCAACATGCTGGATGTGCCATGGCCAGCCGGTATGTGGGGAGTCGACCTGGCAAAGAAATACGGCGAAATGTAGGTGTAGACATCATCTCTGTTGGCGCTTTTGGCCTGGGTCTAGCTTTTTGCAGCATCCTAATCATGGCCAAATCTTACAGGTTCACTATTCGCATCGGTAACAAAAATGTGGTCTACCTCAATTCGAGCCGCGTCGTGACCGACCTTCTGGAGAAACGAGCTAGCATATATGCCTCACGACCAGATCGGCCTATGGCTCAGGACATTGCATCGGGCGGTGTCCGCATGTTGTTCATGGGGCATACAAACCAGTGGCGCAATCAAAGAAAAATCATGCACAACATTCTCAATTCCCAGCAGGCTGAGACCAAATTTGTCAAGTACCAAGAGCTTGAGTCGAGGCAGCTGATTTTGGACTACCTAAGAGACCCGGAGCATTGGTACAACGCCAACCAGCGGTTCTCAAACTCCGTCATTATGGGTGTCGTGTTCGGGAGAAGGGCCGCCTTGGATGACGAGGTGCTCACCAAAATGCTAAAGCAAATGATCGAGATTGGGAGCCTGGCCTTCCGTCCGAGTCTGCGCAGCGCTGCAGATTTCGTTCCGTGGCTCAACTACCTACCCAAGCCTCTTCAGTGGTGGCGACCGTACGGCGAAGACCTATTCAAGCGAACCTTGGAGTGAGTGAATGTCGCGCTGCTTAAATTCCATCCGTGACCCATCTAACTCTACGCCAGTATCTACAAGCAAGAGGTGGACGCTTACATTGTGAAGATGAAGAACGGTCAAGCGAATCCATGCTTCGCTGCTGATATCATTCAGGGAACTGCTAAGAAGGAATTCATCCTGGGCGAACATGAGAAGCTTATGGTTTTCAGTACGCTTCTAGAAGCAGGTAGCGACACGTCGCGTACCGCCACCACGCAAATGTGTGCTGCTGCCGCCGTTTACCCTGAATGGGTTAAGACGACACAAGCGCTGTTGGACGAGGTGTGTGGCCACAATGCCGAACGACTCCCCACATTGTCGGATCGCGAAAAGCTTCCTTACATCACTGCGGTAGTCAAAGAAGCTCTCCGATGGCGTCCCTTCGTCCAAACTGGTGTCCCGCATGAGCTGACGCAAGACGATGAATATGAGGGTTATCGGTTCCCAAAAGGGACTTTGTTTACCTGGAACGCCTACGCCATCGCCTTGGATGAGAATGAGTACAAGGACGCGCACCGATTTCTGCCCGAGCGTTGGCTGGACAGTCCTGACCTGAAGAACCCTCTGAAAGGACACTGGTCCTTCGGTGCAGGTGAGCCCCCCGAATCTATGGACCGGTGAAACCGTGGGGTGAACTAACAGCGTTTGATATGAGCAGGTCGTCGAGTGTGTGTCGGCTACAACGTCGGATTCAATAACGTTTGGATGGCTACCGCATGCTTAATTTACTGCTACAACTTCGAACAGGATCCGGTAAGTCATGCTTTTGTGCGAAGCTTTCTACACAGGCATCTGTGGAAGAAGTTGACAGCGGTGCTAGGACCATCCCATTGACACGTACAATAGTATGTGGGACAGCGTTGATAGGCCTCCGTTCAAGCTACGAGTCAAGCCTCGCAGCCAGGCACACATCGAGCTCATCGAGCGTGAGGGCTTAAAAGCTTTGAATACCGTCTATTGACATTGACGAATGTTTGACTATGGTTGCGTTAGGAGCGACATCTTGGACGGGGCCTTGAGGGAGCCAGGAATCTAAGGAACACTCCAAATTACCTCCGGACTATTCAGAAGGTTGATCACCTATTGTGAGTGAAACGGGATTGCGCCAAGTTCATCGAGGATTTGAAGCGCCTCGCTACACGTGGCACGGCTATCTCAAGCGGTCCAAGGATCCTTTGAAACAGAGGGGACCCTGATCATCTCGACTCCTGACTTATAACATTCTTGGGGTGCTTATTGAGCCAGGCGCCTCGATATCCTACCTTGTAGTGGGGAAGGATCAATCCTAGTTGTGCGATCTAAGCTATGGCCGTATATAGGGACGAGAACTGCAGTCACAACAAGTTCTAAATGTTAGCGAAAGATAGTAAAAGATATTTATCAAAACTTATCAGTAGATAGTACGACGACATTACCTCCAACAGAAATGGACAAAGTAGTTCATACTGAACTGGGGCGAGGCTACTAGCCATGGGCATCAACTCGTACGGCGGTGGGTATAGTCTCTTCTCAACGCGCACACTCAACTAGGGGAAGTCCTCTCTGTTGGTAACTTGGTTGCTTGTGTATTGTATAAAGATAGTCCCCCAGAACTATGTAAGAAGAACCATGGTCTAGGGTCGGCGCCCCAGCCAATCATAACGCTATCCACCACTTCCAACTTCTCCCATTACAATACCTATCTAGAGGCATCTACAATCTGGAAAGACACCACGGACACCTGGAGATTACGAGGAAAGTACCGAGCGCCATTCACAAGAGCTTTGGACCTGCGCTCGATTTTGCCAGACATATCATCTGATCCTACGACAATCCGACGATCGATCCAAGCTGTCATACCGCGTCACCAGAGCATCCCACAAAGCTCCCTACGCCACCACCTGTGTGTTCTGTGACTTTGTGGGATGAGGCCCATACACTACGACGAAACGGGCAACGAGCTGCAAGCGGAGCGGAAAGTTTTCCGTAATGCCCAGTAGTCAGCCCCCGCCTGGTCGCAGAAAGCGTTAGACTTGACAAGGGTGGGCCAAGGCTACCGTGCTGCGGCTTTACCTCTATAGAACCTTTGCGGGGTGTGGCCCGGGGAACCATCACCCACAACCTTCAAGCCATGCAGTTCTTTGTTGTTCCAGTCTAACCCCAAAGTTCAATATTCAAAGTACAAAGCTTGCGCCATGCAACTATCTGTCATCTAGATGGATAGAATTTGCCTTTATCACTAGACAGGACGGTGGTCTGAAGTCCCAGCAATAATCCAATTTCCATTTTTTTAAACCCAAAAAAATAAATAAATAAAAGTCAAGATGGTACAACAAATCTTCTGGGATCCTTTTTCAGGGGAAGGCCCGCCACTCTTCAAAGCCGTCAGTCATGATGAAGAGTTTGGGGAGAAGACAAATGGCGAGCCAGACAAGTCGGAAACGAGTTCGACGACGGTGGCAGCCAGTTGCAGCAAGAAACCGCACGCAAACCCCTGGTACAGGCAGAACTTTGGCGACTTCCAGGTCACGGAGAAGCCCATGTATCAATGTGACCGAAAACTGCGAGTTGTTTGCACGGGAGCCGGCGCCACGGCTCTCCAGGTGGCGTACAAGTTTGGCAAGCTCATGGAAGATGTCGACTTAGTCTTGTACGAGAAGAACGATGCGGTTGGAGGCACTTGGTTGGAGAACAGATACCCGGGGTGTGCCTGCGACATTCCTTCCCACACCTATCAATTCAGTTGGAACCGCAATCCCAACTGGAGTTCCTTGTAAGTCACAATACCCCTATTTAAGTGGTGGGCTGTGTCATGCTGACGGACGGTTTAGCTACTCTCCTGCTGCTGAGATCCTGAAATACTTGCAGGATACTGCGGACAAGTTTGATCTCCACCGATTTGTCAAACTGAAGCACAGGGTTTGTCAGGCTAATTGGAACGACGACTCGGGGAAGTGGGTCTTTAAGGTGCAGCGACCTGATGGTAGCACCTTCACGGACGAAGCCGATATCTTTCTCAATACGAGCGGTGCTTTGAAGTATTTTCTCCTTCCCGTCCTACGAAGTGTGAAGTGTGCTAATGAATGAATCAAGTGTATGGAAGTACCCCAATATTCCCGGTCTGCAAACTTTCAAGGGCAACTTAATGCATACGGCTTCGTGGGACACCACTGTGGACTTACGAGACAAAGTGGTGGCGGTAATCGGCTCCGGTTCTTCCGCAATCCAAGTTGTGCCAGGTGTAGCACCATGTAACCCAGTCCCGTCGTCTTCTTCCAGCCTGGTCAAGCGCTAAGCATGTTTCTATAGATGTGAAAAAATTATTCAACTTTGTGCGGTCGCCAGTGTGGCTCAGCCCCGGCTTCGCAGCCAAATACGCCGGGCCGGAAGGGTCGAATTTCCAGTGTACGTGGATTGATAAAGCCTCACAATTCCCCGAAGCTCCTGTTAAGAGCGCTACCTGACAATTTCACAAACAGACACTGAAGAGCAGAAGGAATTGTTTCGAAAAGACCAGGCGGCATATATTGACTATATTCGGAATATCGAGGAGGACCTGGGAAGCAGATTTCGACAGGTATGTGATTTTATCAAGTATGGCTACCACGTCTTGCCCTATTTTCTTATAAGCCGTGTGATCCTAGCAACACGAAGACAGTGAAATTCAGCTTGCCGTTCGCGATGCCATGGCAGCTCGCATGAGAGCGAAGCTCGGAAAGGACGAGATCGCCGAGTATCTGATCCCCAACTTCGGCCTGGGATGTCGGCGGCTCTCACCTGGTGACGAATATATGGCCTGTTTTACCAGGGACAATGTCGAGATGATTCGATCTGGGGTAACTCGTGTTACCGAGGACGGCGTTGTCGATGATAAAGGCAAGAACTACGCTGTGGACATAATCGTCTGCGCCACCGGCTTCGACACCTCCTTCACCCCTTCATTTCCCATCGTTGGAAGGAACGGAGTTGATTTGAAAAGCTTTTATGGCCATTTCCCACGAGGCTACCTGTCCATCATGACTCCTCAATTCCCCAACTTTTACCGTGAGTCTTTTTATTCTCGGATGCGTCGGCTTACATGTCCTAACTTTTGCTACAGAGTTTACTGGCCCCGGTGCCCCTGGAAGTCACGGTCCATTCTTCTCAATCATCGAGTGGATGACCCGCTACATGATGAAAACCCTCCAGAAAATGCAGAGAGAAAACATCAAGGCGCTGGAGCCCACGGCCGCGGCGTCGCGTGATTACTACAACTGGTGTCATACCATGTTCAAACGGCTCGTTTACAGCCAGCCGTGCGCTTCGTGGTATAAGAATGGAAACCACAACGGCCCAGTGACGGCGCAGTACCCTGGCTCACGACTCCACTGGTACGAACTTCTCAGGGAACCTCGATACGAGGATTTCCGAATCACTTACATAACCAACAACAAATTCCAATTTCTTGGAAACGGGTTCACCCAGAACGACGTCGATCAGACGAACCTGACTTGGTTCATGGATGCACCTGAAATATAGGAATTGGCCGGCAAAGATATCTGAGCAGTGCGCCAGCCTCTGGGCTTGTTTTACTCAGTGAAAACCTGAGGACGGCCCGAATCTACTGTGCATGTGGGTTGCCGTCGGGGCCTTAAGCCGTACAATTTCTTAAAGCACCCAATTTGCCGCTGATTGTCGTCTTCGAGCTCTAAAGGCGTGAATTTTCAGGGAGGAATATTTACCCAGGGTTGCAAAGGCTGGTGACCTAGGGCTGGTTCAGCATTTCCCCCTCTCTAGTGAAGGAATAGTAGAGCAAAAGCCCTTTTGACGGAAAGGTGCCACAAGCGGGAAGATATATGGAGCTCACAATGGCAACACCTCGGCCACTCTGCCGCTTCATCTGATGCTTCTATTGTGACCTACAAAGGCATGTGCTCGTCGCCATCGTCCAAGGTGCAAAATAACGTCGTGAGAATGCTTTCACCAGATGAATCCATGCCCCTGAATATCAATCGCTGCAAAATTTCCAAAATTTGCAAACTTTGGATGCGGGAAGTATCTCTTTCGTGGTTGGCAACGGCACACTGATCACTCACGTCAGGAGAACATGTCCAGCCAATGCACTCTTAATATATTTGGACCCCAAGTTTAGCATTGATACTTCTTCCAGAGACTGGACAGGCTTATCCACGCCGGATGTGACTTGTTTGTAGGTCTCGTTTCTGTCAAGGCTGGGGCCAAGATTGAGGCGTGGACTGTGCATGCCCAACCACGAACTGAAGACTTGACAGTGAACTCACGTTGCTACACTATAAGCGGCAATCTGCAATGTATACGCGAGTAGTCGCAATGCTCTTGGTTTGATCGAATTCCTATGCAGACTTAATGTGGATCTTCTAGAAGGACAAAACCTCTAGGCGTTGTTGGAGAGCTCCTTCACAGTTTGATTGGGCGTAAGGTTGTGACCGAAGAACTTCAACGAGGGTTGCGGTCTTCCGCTGACAACGGTTCATATAGAGCAGGGTATTGTTCCACTATTAAAGCGCCAACTTGTTGACCACTTTAGGGGCCACAACTTGATTGATTGACTGATCGACTGAGAAGGAAGAGAAGTTCTATCTGTAGCGGTGAAGGCTTAAATACTACTTGCTTGTATTTGGAGGACCTTTTGTGCGCGGGGAAGGCATTGGGCCCGATAGTGTTCGTTCAAGCTGATGCCGCCGACGCCTTTCACAATGATGAAAGACAAGAATTCAACCATGGATCTCGTAGCCCGTGCGGAGGATGATGACCTTGACGTCGATGCTCTGTTTAGGAGTTCGGAGGCCAGTTTCGGTGGTTTCGAGGATAGGTTCCGTTGTCTGTTCGATATTAGGGCTATGCTGACTCTACAGACAGCCAGGGGTCAAAGATTCGTCTTTTGCAGCCGAGAGGGAACTGGGGAATGAACAGGTCATGGTACTTTTTCGGTGCAGTCGCGATCAGTAGGCCTTGGCTTGTTCGGTGGCCGCGGCGCAGTCACGCAGCGATCGGGCTGTTTCGGACTGGTATAGATCATGAAGGGCGTCAGTCTTCTTCCACAGGTAGAAGCGGTAAATGCGCTCCCAGGGAGGTTCGTATCGGAAGCACCATTTTCGAAATTCGGTGAAGGTGCGATTGGGGCTTTCATTGATCCATTGGGGCGATCGTTGGGACTGGTGTACCTGCGCGGTCTCTTTGGTCACGTACGGGACTAATTGAGCGGCCAAGCAGCCATTGCCGACGACAGCAACACGCTTCCCCCTGAGAGAGACATCGAGATTCCAGCGCGCAGAGTGCCACTTGTCGCCTTTGAACGTCTCATTGCCAGAGACGTTGCATTCTTTGGGTAGCGATATTGTGCCCACCCACGATACCAGCATTTCAGCTTCTTTGTGAAAGACCTGGTGATCCCCGAAGTCGCGAAGGCTCACGCGCCAGACTCACTTCTCTTGGATCCAAGCAGCCTCGATCACCTCCACGCCCAGACGCACATGGGGCGACACCAAACTTGTCAACCGCGTCTTGCAGATAGTGAAGGACTTCCGCTTGCTCGGCCAACCGTTTGGACTAGATGGGTTTCAAGTTAAAGAAGAAGGAGTAGAGGTGAGAGCCGACATCACAGCCAACAACGGGATATGTTTTGAGGTACCAAGTCGCACTAATGGATTTCTCCCTTTCGTAAACAACAAAGTTCTCATAACCTAGCTGTGATCTGAGCTGTGCAGAGAGTGCGATGCCAGCAACTCCGCATCCAATGGCAATAATGCGTAGCTCTGCTGTCCGCCCTGAAGTCATGGTGTAAACTTGAGACTTCGCGTTCCACACGAAATATCTCAACCACTTCTGGATCGCATGGTGGTTTCTCCAAACTCCAAGCTCACACAATATATCATATTCAACCTGTGGGGGACTGGCCACTCGTCCATGTAGCCTCTAGGGCAAGCTCCCAGCCGATGAATTGATGCAAGATGATTCTGGTTACATGGTATATGGGGTGGGTCTGAGGTTCCCGGCCAGACCATGTCCAGCTTCCCGGCAGTATTCCGTGGTCTTCTGGGGGCCAATTCATACATGAGGAGCAATATCCGACGGACCTAGGGCCGCTCTCACTCTCGCCGCGACTGGATGAAATCTTCGAAACGATGCAGATATAACATATAATGGCGCGCAAGGGCGGGGCGGATGGAGGGATGGTCGACATTTAGGAGACGGCGGACCCCTATGGCAGTAACATTCTGATGCTGTTGGTCAATTGGACTGTTAACATGCCAAACATGCCAAGCATCCCGAACAGCGAGACGGATATCCGCCTCGAGGGCGCGTGTTGACAGGGTCGTGAATTCGCCACTGTCACAAACCACCTCAGGCGCTGGCCGTCTCACCAACTGCGCCGCTTACCTCAACGCCGTTATTCTCGCCGTTCTGCGATAGCATGACGACAGAATAGGAGCTTTCAAAAATGACCTTCAGATCACAGACAAAGTGTATATAAACAGGCAGAGTCTCTCTGAATAAATAGGCAGAGGGACCAGACACAATCAATCAGATAGAACCGCTCTGATTCTGTGTAAGACGGCGCGTCTGTGAAAGTTGCTTCACCCGTCGCACCCATCTTGGCCGACAACGAGCAAGTAGTGTGGGACATCAGAAAATTCATCGTCGACGTCTGTCAGCAGAATGGCGGTGGCCACGGAGGCTGAGCGATTGGCATGGCACGGCTGGAAGTGGCGCTGTGACGCCATATAATGAGGTACAACCCAAACAACACCGAATTGTTCGATCGTGATCGATTAGTGCTTCCAATGGCCATGCTGCCATGTTCATCTGCACCGTGTTATGTCACCGGGTATCCGAATATGGCCTTGGACGAGGTGAAGCTGCACGACTCTGCGAAAGTCGTAGATCCGGAGACTGGCAAATGGAAGGGTGGCGGATGTTTGTTGCACAGTTTCGTCGAGGACTGATCAGGACATACGGCCAAACAAGAAGGGGAAATTTTGATTGCTGCTGAAATGGCACATTCATCTCGTTTCCTATGGATCAGAGAACCCTACAATGTCACAGTCCGTCACGCACGGACCCTAAGCATAGCGAGACGACAGATAGGAGGGGAGAGACGTGTTGGATATTGGCCGTATCTTAGACATGGAACTAACAATAAGTGCCCTGCCCAAATTGAGGTTCTATCCACTTCTATCTGGACAATAGCATTTTACCCTGCAATCTTGATCTCTCCGCCTCAACTATGCGGTCGGTCTCCTCCTCAATGCTCTTCTCCTTGGGCTCCCAAGCCAGAAATTTCCTCAATCGTTCGGCCTTTCCTCGCGAATTCCAGCCCCAGCTCACTGCCTCGAAGCCTGCTACCTCCAGAGCCTCGTCTTTATTGAGTCGCTTTTCTGCGGGGTCGGCTGGAATGTAGCCCTTATCCGCTGCGATGGTCGATATCTTCCTGGCCAAGTCGGCCCAGATATGTTCGCCGTTCTCGCACAGATGATAGCCCTTCGCGCCCCATATCTCATCGGACATATTCTTAGCCACGGCCGCTTCAGCCAGTAGGACAAACGCAGCGGCAAGGTCGTAGATGTGGATGTGATTCCACCGCGCTTTTCCTAAACCTACAATAGGCGTGTACCCCTTTTGTAAGATGAGCTTGGTCAGTTCATAGACCTGGCGAGAGCGCCCGGAGATGGGACCCCGGCCATTGCCTAAGGGGGAAAACCAGCAACGAGTTAGTTTACCCTAGTACCAGTCGGACCTCCAAGAGAAAACAGTGGCAGTACGACAGTTCGCCGGGTCAGAGACGTACCGTAAATGGTGGGCGGGCAAACCAGCGCCGTCTTGACTCTGTCCACATATTTGCTTCCCGCTTCAAGTACGATCTTGTCGACCTTACGATGGAACGCATCATCAGGAAGGTGGGTCAGCTCGTCCACTCCGCTGAGGTCGTTGTATTCCTTGGTCGACCACTCTCCCAATCGATTGTTTTTGGAGTCTTCATAAGTCAAGATCCCGGTCCCGCCAGTATGGAGCCAGAATCCGGGGTTGGCAGGCGTATGTCCTTCAGCGAGACCGGCCGCGATGGATTTAGCGGCGCCTTCGTGATCGGATGCATCTGCAGTGTCTGATGGCGTCGAAAGTGGTTAGAGAATAGTACCGATCTGGATTGAAGAGATTACGACTCACGCAGGACGATATCAGCTTTTGCACTCTCCTCTCGGATCACGCCTGAGTCGTCCAGATCACCCAGGACGATGCGAAGTTTGGGATACTGCTGTTTAACTTGGCTCGCCTTCTCCTGCGTCCTGATCAGGGCACCTGGTAGATGATGTCAGCAGCTGGAACCGGTAGCAAAATGGGAGGGACACTTTTGATTTTCATATCAATCTCCCGAAAAGGAACCGGCATGACGAGACCGTTGCAAAGAAATATAGACAGAATGAAGTCTCGGTAGAGAAACAGGTCTCTTGAAATCTGCAAACTCACAGTATTGCCAGTCTGGGTGTTTCTGGTTCAGCGCATACAAAGTGTCACCACCTATGTAGCCTGTGGTACCTGTGCTAGATCATGGTCAGCTTGCGAAATCTGTTTTCGAAATACGCGGCCTACATGAACACTTTGACCGTCATAAGGACTTTGGCGGGGTGAATTCAGGCAAGAGAGATCATGCACCAAGCACGTTCTGCGAGGGCAGGGCTTATGGTGGCATCCCTGAATTTACCCATGCAGTGTCGCGAGGAGGCTACGGGTCACAAAGTTCCAATTGTAGGTGGTGCTGGTTAAGCCCCAACTCTTTAAGGCAGGTCTCCCGATCACGTGATAGACCAGGATTCTCCACACTCAAAGGTCTCTGCCACTCCCTCGTAGATAAATTTCTCTTCTCTCAATCAATCAATCAAGTTATCTTCTGGGCCTTCATCCTCCAACAGAAATGGTTTACGGGGAGTCTCCGTGGTAGATGAGGGGTTCGGGAGTTAGATTCCTTTCCCTGTCAATCCTTCGGGAATCGTTTCCCTAGTCCAAGTCGCGGGGTGGCATCGGATCTACTTTGGCCACCCTGCCTGCTCAGCCGGACAACCCTCCGGCAATATGGATATCGACGTTAACCTAGCTGTTAGTCTTTCCTGAGCCATCACCACCACTTGTACTCGGTAAGAACCTCCATTGAGCGAGACGCGTGATCGTTCAAGCATTGTCAGGGTCTCCGCATACCGCCTGTCCATCCTGTGCAACAAAGGGGTGGGTGGCCCTTATGGGAGCATTGGCCACATTCCATTCCTAATGGAATGTATTCTGGATCTGCAGAAGGGGGAGTTGAAGTATATAACCGGTTTTCTTGATGTTTGAACTAACAAGGGGTGTTAGGGGGCGCCCCATGGGAGACACGGCAGGGTGCACTCATCAATACAGTACACTTCAGTACGGCGACATGGGGGAGTATATGGGGCAGAGCGTCTCTCCTTTTAAATTAATTTTAGTCTACTCAAACCGGCCTATACTGCTTGTTATTATCCTTATCATCACCTATATTTCACTCCTCTTAGAGAGCCCCCCGAAACCAAGGGCGACTCGGTGGGCCAAACGAGTCTCAAAACATAGGTCTGTTTCCCCTGCAGGGGTGTGCCCTCACCGCCGCCATCACCATGACCAGTGACTTCTCTTTTATGCTGTTCGGTTGGAATCAGGGCGTGTTTGGCGGCATCTGAACGATCCGACGTTCGCCAAACAGTTCAGGAACCCGTATGCCACAACTCAGGGCCAGATCGTGTCGACCTACGGTATCGGCTGCATTATTTCTATCTATTTCGGCAACAAGCTCGGTCGTGTTGTTGCAGGCCTGAGGATAGGGCAGAGCACGGCTGTCGTGCCCATGTGGCAAGCCGAGACCAGCAAACACGAGGACTAGGGTAAATTGGTTGCTCTTCAAATGGTCATGGTCAACTTCGGGATTGATCTGACCAATTTGATCAATCTAGGAATGACCTACATCTACGCAAACGAAGTCAGCTGGCGCTTTCCCATCGCCATGCAATGCTTCCGGGCCTTGGCCACGCTCGGGCTGCTCTCCTGCACTGTGAAATCTCCCCGCTGACTTTACTACAAGGAAAAGCATACTAAAGCCCAGGCCATACTAGCTCACCTTACCACCAAAGACTATAAAGAGCCATTAAATAACGTAAAGTCTTTTATAGCAGAGAACAGCAAAATTTCCGGCGCATTGTCCGTCTTTCAGCAAATGGGCGCCATCAATTTAGTAGGCTTTAAAATCTAAGTTCCTTCCTGGCTCTCTCCCAAAACCTACAGACTTCAGACTCACAATACTACCAATGGTTGCGCCGCAAAAACAACAAATTGTCTACTATTTCCTGGTGATCCTAACCAAGCTCTTTCTGTTCAGCAACAAGCTTGCATTAATCCTGTCGGCGATCGACTTCATCTCGCTCTGCTTTTGGGGTTCCGTGAGATTGATCGCTCTGGACGTGTAGCACTCATGCTATTTAGTTCCATTCGATTCGGCACCTGCTTCACTCTTACCTCCATCGGTCTGGGTATTGGAACAAAGGCCAGCTACGCCATGGCTATGTCGTTCCTATTTGAATACCACCTCTTCCACGTAATAATGCGTCTTTCCTCTCGAACATTCTTGAGAGTGCAACGGCTCACTTTTCTCGTTCGATCGCAGGGCCTATCCTTCCTGGCCGTTCCGTTCCTGTATCCTTCCGAAATCAACTCATCACGTATTCGCTGCATCGGCAAATCCCTTGGCAAACTGATGCCCACGTCCTGTGGCATATACCAGCCTGCGGAGTCCAGAATTCGAACCCGCATCTACACCAGGCCTTGACATTCATTTTTAGATAGCAGCCTAAATCTACAATTATCACAGCGAACCGCGTCATGACCCTTCATACTCAATCGTCGAAGTCGTCGAAAGAGTTGGAGACATTCGGCGCGGTAGGCCTGTGTTTTAGAGTGGGACAAAATGAGTCTATATTGGCTATTTCGACACTGTCCCTCAGGACATGATTCATGTTGCACCGGTTCGCAGCGGGCAGGTTCGCCTCGTTGCATGCATGATCTATCCATCCTCATCAACCATGGTTTCCCTGATTGATTCAGAGATTTGTTGCTTTAGTCTTGCGCTCAATCCTCAGATTAACATTGATTAGACGTGTGTCTGAAGACAGCTCATTATTTGATCGTTCTCTACGCTCCTCCCAACGCTTGAGGGCGGTCACGTTAATATCGACAAGTCCTCCATGTCATAGCCTTGTGGCCGTATCATTCCGTCCGATCCTGGCCTGCTACCGGCAATCAAACTCATGGCGCTTCCAAGCGTGGCTTTCCCCAGACTAGGATCCTTGCCAATTCCCTTGAACATGAAAACTGCTGCGACGATCAAAACCACCGTCATACCTATGATCCCTGCCGTTGTGAAAGCCGTGTACTTTAGCATCACGACGCCAGTGCCGTGATCACCGACCATGCCCACTATGAAGGAAACCGTCACCGTTAGCCATGCCAATGTCACTATCACCAGCATGAGCACAACAAATGACTTCCACATCATGGAGCTATATATGTTTGTGATCGTATTAGTGAATCCATCCATGTGTTCTGACATTTTCACCAGTCTGTGTGTGACTCTATAACGTCCCTTTCGAACCAACGCGCCGATGCCGCGAATGGAAATGTATAAGACAATGGCAATGGATGAAAGGATGAGGAAGACGCCGACAAAGTCGTACAGCAAGATGTTGAGGTCGACAAGGCGTGTGCTCATGGCGAGGATGCTGGAGGAAAGGGACAACGGGAGAAAAATGGCGGCGAGTACAGTCAACCCTTTGACATCGCGTGACTCGTTGACGTTGAGTTTGTCTTTATACATGTCCCATGCCATTTTATAGCGCTCGTGGTTAGCGTTTGCCAGATTCTCCAACTGAGAGCATTCATGGCGGATAGAAACAAGGTAGCAGCGCAGTGACGGTCGCGAAGCATTGCCGATGTCGGCCTCGAAGTTCTGGACCATGAACTCTGCCATCTCTGAAAACTCTTTGACATGGCAACAGAACTCGAATGAATGTCTGAGGCGCGTGATCGTGCTCGCCATAGTATCAGACCCGAGGTACAACAGATTCATCTTTGTCGAAGGGTATGTTGCACTACAGATCTCTCGGAGTTTGCGAACATGGAGACGGATATGTTCCAGTATAATAAGCTTGACGAGCTGTTGCCTTGAAAACCCTCGGGATGGAACTCGCTGTGACCACTGAGACGACGAAAATAGAGAGCCCAAACCATCCGCCGCTCGCATTGGCCCAGAAAAGAAAGTAGGGTGTCTGTAGACGACTGTTGATCCCGATCAGAGGAGCTTCTTTGGGCGACACAAGCTCTTACGTACCCACTAGTTCATCTGCTTGTGACAGTCCAAAGACTAGATATGTGAAGGAATGCCCCAGATTCAGCGGCTTATACTGCTTCGCCATTTGCGTGCAAGGTAATTGCAATGCAATTCCAACATCCAAGCCAGCGCGGCTCTCATCCCAAAGCGCATTCAAAAAACTCGGCTCGAATGCTGAAGATCGGTGACGGTCAAAAAGATGGCTCTGCAACTTTGGGCTGTGAACAAGCGGCATAAATTTGATCTTTTTAAACCAGCGGCGAAGATGTTGCTGCAGGAGCAAGCCGACAGGACGTGCACCCCCGGCATTGGTGCATATATCGAAGATTCGGATTGACTTGGGGGAGATGGTAGGCAACTGGCTGAGCTCAACCGCTGGGTCGTCGTTCTCACGTACAGAGGCCAATACAGTCGCAGAAGCAAGCGAAAATGGTATATCCGTGACTTGAATCCAAGGAGACTTTGGGTGTTTCGCATGGCCGGCAGAAGCAGAGGTGAGCAAGCCCGAGTTCATGTTGGCAAGGCCCTCACGACCGCAAGGAGCGAATTCCTGACCTCCGTATGCACACGACCCCTAGACAGGAAAAGGCCAGAAAGTCTTTGAAAGGGAAACGCCAAAAACATTTGACTGCGGGTTAAGTAAATGCAGTTTTAGCTCAAAGTCGAGTCTAGGGACGCCTCATGATATTCCTGGTTTGTGTTCCAATCTTTAAGACCAAGTAGCTGGGCGTATGCCGAACTTTGAAGACCAAATCCTGTTGTTCGCATTGACGTAAAAGATCCATGAGATTTCCCCAGGAAACAGCCGAAGGACGCAGCGCTTCCAATTCTGCAACGATAATGCAAAACAATTTCGCCAATGAGGATGATACAAGTCATTCCTCCGACTCATCCACCTCGGCGGGGAAGGCGGCCCCTTGTGCCTACTAAGCAGTCCATTGGAGTTGTCCTTTAACTGCGATCCACCTCTTTTCTCCTGACTGACGCCCGAGTCCATCGTCCCAGCCCACTCTGTCGGGAAAGTTCCGAACATACGCCCCACGTGCCCCAGGACAGTTCAGCAGGAGATCTACGGGCAAGGTGTTCGCCTCCAGGTCAGGAAAAAAGTTTCTTCGTTACCGAAAACAGGCTCGTTCCACAGCCCCCCCCCAACGAAAAAACCTCTGGGGCGAAACCTTGAGGTTTTCGGCCAAGGCATTCACGAGGCGTTCACAGGGTCACCGATAGAGCCTCTGGAACGGTGGTTGCCTTATAGGGTAAATTCAAGAATCGCTTTCCTGACACAGGCCAAATGGCTATATAAACAGGAGGAACTCGCTGAAGGAGTAGAGAGAACAGAGCAGTTGATCAGACAGAATAAATGGAGGCCATTTACGTAATCAACTTGACCACTTTGACCTCAACAATACCCTACCCCTACGCTGCTTCCTGAATTTCTTGTAATCTTTGGGCCTAGCAGTCCGACAGGGTATGCGGTTAAATCGTACGTCGGTACTAACAGACAGGATCAAGATTGGGGGAGCCGGCCGTGGGCAGAGGAGGAGAAGCAGGAGATAGGGGTATCAGAGCGACTGGGTATGGCGGAGTGCGCAACGCAGTTATCGACCACCGCGACCGAGACAGAATTTCTGCACCGCATGAAGCCTTAGTCGAACTAATTGACATCTCGAACTACGGGGTTGAGAGACTCGTTGGTCCTCCTTCGAATATGCCTTTGGTTGAGGGTCGTCTGATTGACTCAAGGCAAGAGCAGTAGAGGTGACAGAAGGAATAACCGATGGAGAGTAGAATGAAATTCAAGACCCTCTGTCTCTGCTCCCAGCGAGGAAAAGAGATTTACGTCGAAGGAGGAGCGAAAAACCGGGATGTATATCAAGGGTTTTCATTCATGATCTTGGTAGGAGAAGGAAAAGCAGAAATCGGCAGCGTAAGAGGACCTGGATTTGTTTCACAAATCTTGACAGACCTATGCATTAATAGGTATGTGAGCTCTCATACCTATTTCGAAATTCTCTGCTCTGGGATAGCTCGCCCCAGTGCCCGCTAGTGTTGCCTCCCACCCGATCCTATACAACTCTTGGGATTTGCGTTAGCGGGGCCCCCCTGGGTGGAAAAAAAAAAAGGGGGGGGGGGGGATTTCCCCATATAGTCAAGCCAGTGAGGCCACCCGTCCACACTAAATCCTAGGAATGGCATGCTTCGCAAACCTGCTCTTTTGGTGCTTGGCAGTCCCTGACAGCGACTTTGCCAGCGCCTGTGATCTGGTGATTCGGGCGTCCGTGCATTACCCGGAAGTGCTTACAGCCTTACAGACATGTTGCACTCTGTTGCGAGAAAGATGTCGCCGTCACGCTTGGTGTACGCACAGTTCCGAATCTGCCTTGCCGAAGCTCTGATTAGGCGGGCAGGCAACCATTCAAGGCTAAAGAGATGCTTCATCTAATCGTAAGGCTAAGTATACGAATCTTGCCTACTTTTCAACTTGAATTCTTGCACATGCTGCTGAACAGTGAGTAACTACTTGGCCGTGTCTGTCGTTTTTGGCCAGTTTAGATACCAGATACAGAACTAGCCCCTGATGTCCAGTCGCGCCATGTCTTTGTCATACCAAGATAATCAATCATCATCATCTCAGTCGCTCTCTCAGAACGTCTCAGCATACACAGAAAGTACCGCCGTGGAAGGAGATGATGCCGGCCGACTCCGCCAACTTGGTGTCAAACATGCCACGATTGTGGACATCGACACATCAAACCCCGTCCGGCTCACTTCTAAAAGGCCATCTATTGACGAGTTAACCTATTTTGGACCTCGCGAAATAATGAAGTCCACTTCTGCAGGCAGAACCGAACTGCGATGGGTTCACTTACCCGCCAACTGTATGTTATGGGTGGAAGACTTGATGGCCGCCGTCTGCACTGAAAGAGGTCTTACCGTCCCCCAAAATGCGGACGGCACTGACCAAAATCCTCTCCTCCGCAAGGATCTCTGGGCTCACCTGTTTCACGGTAAAGCATCCAATCAGATCCACGCCCGTTTCATGGGCCCCGTTTGCACTCCTTTTTCTCTCTCAGTCGATGACGAGGAGTCCGGCTCCGACGGCGGCTCGACGCGCGGGACGCTCCGTAACCTGGTCTTGTACATGCCGTTCTTGCACTGGGAGTCCTCAGATGCATGGTCGGAACGACAAGAGTTGATTCGCGACATCAAAGAAGGGAGACGAGGGAAGCCCCAGGTCGATAGGGAGTTTGTCACGACATATCTGTCTCATAAAACGGCACCACTGCATGATCGGCGGTCTCTCCATCAGGCATTCTACCACTTCTCTGGCCTAACCAGATCGGTGCCGAGGGTGGATCAAGTCATGGAGAAATTCACGTCCGAGAAGCGTGGCCAGGATGGATGCGCGAAACTGATAGTTGTGGATCAGTTATGGCTCTGGTTGATCAAAGGCACACGACCGACCGATGAACAAGACAAAGATCAAGATGGCTCGTCAGCGGACCCCGATCTTGTCATCACTGCCTTCCCCGATCGGTTTAACGACCAATATGATTCCGCCAACGTTCACCGCTGCATCGTCGAACACCTTGAACGAGGGCTGCAGCCTCCCCTCAAGAAGGTGGAAGATCTTGTGGCCTTGATAGTGGAGCACTGTACGGGCGTCTTCTTCCAACGCCAGCTCGAGAACGACAAATGGTTTCTAGAGTTTTTCGCGGCAGCCATCGGGGAAGTGGTAAGCTCTCCCTCCTCCTTTAAACTTATGTCCTCGTCTCTCCTAACGCTAACATCAACGCAGCGAGAATCCCAAAAAGCCGCCTTCAATGCCTTCTGCGCTGCCTCCCGTTCTCTCCAAACTTGCCAGTCACATCACTCGATCTCCTCTGCACTGTCCGACCCGGCTTTCAGCATCATCGAGGAAACTTCCCTCGTCCACCGCATCAAGGCCATCATCGACGAACTCACCTGCATCGATTACATTCTGTTGCGACAAGAAGGCGTTCTCCACTCGCTTACCCGCGCCCAACCCAAATCACGCATGCTCCGCACCGTTGCCGAAATGGTGAAAGAGCGCCGGGAAGCATGGGCCTCGGTCGCCTCCACCGCGGAGGTCTCACACTCTGAAATCCAGTCGCAGATGGACCTCAAGCAGAAACAGGCCAATCTCTCAGAGAGTAGGATGTCGAGGTTTCAGGCTCAAGCCTCGGCCTCGCACTCACGCATAATGCTCCTCTTCACCGTCGTCACCATCATCTTCTTGCCCTTGTCCTTCTTGGCGACGTGGTTCGGCATGAATATTCAGGATCCCAACGCCGGGAATCTGAAGCTGTACCAGATCGCGGCGATCATATTTCCGATCTCAATGGTCATTGCGGTGGTGGCGCTGGCGTTTGCGTTTAATGAAAGGCTGAGGGGCGTTGTCGTGAGAGTGGTAGAGTCCTGTTGGACTGTGTTTTGCGGAGCGGGACCTACGGACGAGGATGAAAGTTCTTGGAGGAATCATCACGATGAGAGGATCGAGATGGTGTAAGGCTTGGATCGATCGACCTTCCTATTTTTGTGTTAAACATCCCACGTCGTCTTAGCGAAATATGATTTCTGATGACGGCTACGTATGTGCTTTTTTAAAGTATCCGCCAGCCCTGGGAGAATCGGTCCGAACTCTGGCTTCCCTTTTTAAAAGACGCCCTACACCGCGTGAAGGTACCTCCTGTTGTACGGCTCGTGATTTTTATATGATAAATACACGAGCTGAGAAGAATAAGGCAACTTCCGAACTCATTTTTGAGATCACACTGTACTAAACTCGTGAGCAACCTGGCGCAGTGGTATCACAACCGACCGCAAGCGAATGATACTCTGCACTTAACATTTGTGACCGTCGAACCGAAAAGGGACATCGAGCAGTTGTCACCTTGGGTATTCGCATCCCGATTCAGTTCGGGCAATTCTGCTATGATGCTGTTTGGCACTTTGCCCAGCCCGCCATTCTCCTCAAACTCGAGTGATCTTGAACAGAGCCTGCGGCGTTGTTTCCCCGTCTTGCACCCACAGTCGCATGCGTATCAAGGAGGCACCCATCAGAATGTACAGTTGCCGGTGGCCCAATTTGGTACGATGGCTGAAGACAGATTTGCAGGAGGATTGATGAGCCCTAGATACACTCCGGCGGTCATATTTCCGTCGGCAGCTTTGGAGTCGCCACTGCTGTAATAAGAGCCAGCACGATAGTAATTTGTGACGGATATTGTTGATAGCGTACTTCCTAAGCGTTCAGTTGGACGCAAGCAGTCGTGGTGATCACGGATTTGTTGCGAGAACAGATCAATTGCGGGCGCTAGAATAGTGATTAGAGCACCCAGCCCTACCACATTCCTATCGATTCATCTCACCAAGATTGATCGGGGGCTCCAGAATGCATGTCTTACCGGTCTCACAGAACTAAGAGCAGCAACAACGAAGCCCAGGGCATATTGCTCACAGAGTCAAAATGCTCCAGATCTCTAGCTGTCCTAGGTTAGGTAAACCACAGCCACTTGAGTCTTGAAACACCTGGCGGAGAGAAACGTCAACTCGAGCGCTGCGGACGACAAGGCAAAAGTATTCCATACCTGCTGCTACCGGGAGTATCAAGGCCGCTTTGAGTATTGCCGTAAAGACAACAATCAATGCGTTGACAGAAATCAGGGCTCAGATTAGTGGACAGTGGCATGATTGAGATCTTACTTCTGCACAAGCGACTGCCCTCGTCATGAATTGGCAGACCTGACGCTTTCTGTCACGAACTGGGGGGTTATCTTCGAATTGGACATGGTTGTTGGTCTATAATAGGTTGAAGATCAGTTGCCCTGTGAGACGGAATGCCTCTATCTGTTTTGCTACAAGTGTGATATCCAGCAGCCAGAAGAATGGACGAATAGAAAAGGCATGTTGGGGACCTTAAAAAGAGCGTAGCCTGACTGTTTAGCACCCAGAGCATTGGCCAATGTCAGACTCAGAACTGTGATCTTGATGACGTAAAATGAAGTGCATCGATCAGTCCACCGGTTTGTCTGTCTATCTGTCCTTTCATCGAGTTCCTTCTGTTGCAGGCAGCGCTGGTGACACTGTCCTGATATCCGATATCAGTCACAGTGGCCCAGGCTAGACTGGTGCCATGGCTGGCTGCAATACCTCAACAGCTACAACAACGGCCCGAAGATCGAAAATAACTCTGTATATGTCGACGAGTAGCAGACGTGTTTACACTTCTACAGAATGATAGAATGTAAGTGATAGCTATATCTTTTTATTCCGGCAAGTTCATGAAGGACTGATACGACATCAATGAAAGTCTAACTACCATATCTACTCCTATTACTCCTTAAATATTTTCTTTCGTAAGACAGCTCCTTTCGGACCTGTGCCTATCATGACGTGTGGCTAAACGATGCCTTTTTTCTCTGGTAGCAATTGTTCATGTACAAGGTACGCCGAAACAAAGAACGCTAGACGGAACGTGGGCCTTTGATCAAAAGTATCTCGGAGAGAACAACTCGATTAGCGCTAACTTCTTCGGATAGTTAAATGTGTTATTGGAGCAGGCTGGTCAAGAGCCACGTCGTTAAAAGCGGCGGTACACCCAGCCCGCCACTATTCCTAAAATGGCAGAACCACCTAAACCGAAAGCGGATCCCGGGCAACAACTTTCCATTTCCAGATCCGTCAAGGAATGACACAGGCATCTTCAGCACCTCGACTCTATTGCAATACATTGCTCTTCGAACTGTGTATTAACCCTCAAAGCAATGGGATCCATGGACTATCATGATGCTCTTGCCGCCCTTCGCGCTCAGCAAGAGGCACACCCTCTTTCAATCATCGCACTCGCCGAGCCCATTACCGCTGCGCAAACACAACCTCAACCACAGAAGCATTCATGCTCGCAGTCGCGGCCCTCAGACACTCTATCTACTTCAGAAACTGAATCTAATCTGCAACTCACGCCCGCCGCTCTCCTCGCCGACCTGACGCACTACAAGGACCTATTCTCCAAACTCCGCTTCAGCTACCTGGAACAGGTCACCAAGGAGAAGTACCTTCGCAGCATTGTGGGTTATCCCCCACTCGTCGTCAGCCATGAAGACAATCTGGTTTTGGAGGAGAGGCTGGAGGTCATGAAGAAGGAACTGAAGACGAAAAAGGAGGACGTTGATGCTCTGGTCAAGGGCATGGAGGGACGAGCAAGGGATGTTGCACGCGCTTATGATGGCGTGAGAGAGGGTTTGGATGTGTTGGAACGCGTCCCTGTTGAAATCGAGTCGCTCAAGGCAGAGGTCGAAAGCTTACACGCCGAAATTGCGGTCCGACAAGGTGACCACGGCGCTCACCCCGGAAGCGTTGACCCAAGGATGCACCTCTCGCTATCTGCCACGGAACAAGCGCTTCTGGAACAACGTGAGCGCAACGCCGAAATCGACCGGCAAATAGCAGAGTTACAGAGACAGATGCCCGCAAAAGTGCGCGAGGTGGAGAAAATGGATCGTGAGTTGGCCGAATTGGAGAAGAGACGTAACGAGAGCGCAAGGCTGGCGGTTGAGGGGAGGAGAAGGCGGGAGCAAGGAGGGAGGGACGAGATGGAGGAGTTGGGGAGATGGTATAGGGCGAATGAAGCTGTCATGAAGGGGTTGCTAGGGGTGGAGGAACGCATGACTCCTGACAGGGAAACGGAAAACCGAAAGACATGTGAGGTATAACAGGAAACTGGGATTTTGAAAGGCTGCCGGCGTTGGCGATATCTCATTCGATGATACCCTAGCATAGGAAACGGGAATAAAGCATGATGACGTTTGTGCAGGAGGATATCATGGTGTCGTTAGCTGATTTCCATCAGCTACGGGCATAGTAAAGTCCTCGACTTGAAAGTTCAGCAGGCTTTCCCCTTGGTCTTGTCGCCGAGGTGGGCTCCATTGCTTTGAGCAAATGGGCCTCAATCTCGCATGCTACAGCATCAAAATCACCAGTTCTAGACAGACTGACAGCCCACCACCGTCATGTCATCGCATGATCTATTCCTCGTCCTCACCACCTTCCTCTTCATCGTCCTTCTTCTCCGCAGCCTTGGCCTTCTTTCTCCTGACACGACCGGGTCTGCCACCGCCGAAGGGACTCGTCAACGCGAAGTCAATGTGCTTCTGGCTGTCCAATCGCACCACGAAGGAGGGGACATTGACGATCTGCTTGCCGACTCGGATATGTCGTTGCTTGATGAGCACACGGGCGTGGTGGATAGACTTTGCAAGACCGAGTTTGTAGACGCAGGTTTGCAGGCGGCGTTCCAAGAAATCTTCGACCTTGAGGGCCAGTACGTAATCGAGTTTCATGCGGGATTCGTCGAGCACACCGACACGCACAAGGCGGCGAATGAGGGCATTGCCTTCGAAGAGACGTTTGGGGTCCTTTTCGTCGAGGGTCAACAGTTGACTGTAATATAGTACACAGGTGTCAGTAAAATTTCTCTACAGCGTCGTCTCCTCCAGCAGAGATATTCGGGAGGAGGGTGTGTGATTCCATACCGAGCAGCACGACGGATCTTGGACAGAGTGAGCTGGACACGCCAGACTTCACGCTTGTTGCGCAGGCCATATTCGCCGACAATCTTCAATTCCGAATCCCTAGTCGATTGTCAGGATATCTCAGACATGAAGCACAGACAAGCTGGTGCTCAGTGGCCAGGATATTTTATTCAACATACAGACGAGCAGACTCGAACGCTGTTTGTGCGAAGTTAGCCTGGGATCTTTGTCGGGGACGAAGGACGGGCACTTACGTCGACGAGGGACCTTGTAGGTCTTGGAGTAGGATCGCGGCGCCATGATTGCGATGTTGACTGCGCAATCGAGATGGTCGTCGCGGGTGAGAAGTCGTTGGGCGTTTGACCTTTTTCTGTAGAAGAGAAACGTGCGACTGAGGTGGGCTTGTGTCCAGGCTCTGCAAAATTGGTGGATTTCGGGTCTTGGCGCGCCGCACAATTCGAAATTCACGCTCCGCGGCTTGGCATAGATTTTCGGGAAACTGCGCCCTGGAGCCACCACACCAACATTGAAACAGTTCTACAATCCGTCTCGACAACCAGATCTTCTCCTAGCAGACAAGTCACCTCGACCTCATCCGTCATAATGGGTCACTCTCGAGGTCTCCGGTCCGGAACGCGCTATGCGTTCAGCCGCAATTTTCGCGAGAAGGTACGATCAGCCAGAGAATAGGGAATGGACAGCGCAAGAGCTGACGGATGGTTGTGAATTCTACAGGGCATGATCCCTCTCTCGACGTACATGAAGACGTACCGAGTTGGCGATATTGTCGACATCAAGGCCAATGGCGCAGTTCAGAAGGGTGTAGGTTTTCTCCCCAAATGCAAGATTCCGAACAAGAGCGAGGAATTTCATTTCCCGGACTGGGACCACCGATAACTGATCTTCATCCGTGTGGGAAAATATAGATGCCCTACAAGGTCTACCACGGGAAGACTGGCGTTGTGTACAACGTGACCAAATCCGCTGTCGGAGTTATCATCTACAAGCGAGTCGGAAACCGATACATCGAGAAGCGAGTCAACGTCCGTGTTGAGCACATTGCCCATTCGAGATCAAGAGAGGAGTGTAAGTTCTGCCTATATCGCTTTCTACACAGTCAATCCCCTCACAGCGACTCTGAGACCTTTGAGAAGGGGAGCATGCGGAACCGGATTGGGGCAGTCTTGGCTGATACATGTTGTGTAAAAAATTACAGTCTTGAACAGAGTCAAATCGAACGCTGAACGCCGCCGCGAAGCCAAAGAGAAGGGCGAGTCCGTGCAACTGAAGCGCCAGCCCCAAGGTCCTCGAAAATCGCATGTCGTCGAGTTCACAGGGGTGGAGAGCCTCGCGCCTCAACCATACGACACGCACATCTAAGCGCACAGAGAACTAGTTTGTGTCTGTTGGTTTCCAAGGGCCGGGCGGAGCATGACGGGGATTGCGGCGAGTTAAGCAAAGGCATGGGCAAAGTGAGCTGGAAAAGTGCCTGAAGATCTGGTACCCAGGGCACTGAATTGTGGAGGGGGGACAGAGAGGACTGGCGGAAAAGAGAGTCACAAGCGAGACCAGACTCTGCTACCTATTCTTCAAGAGGAAATGGTTGAAATCAAGAAAAAAAAACCACCCCCCGGGGCGAAGAAAGCAACGATCAGGAGTTCATTCTTCCTCTATTTCCCGCCTTTGAGAAATGACACAACCGAATTCAAAACGTTAGAGTCAAAGCGACTGAGTGAGGCCAGGCATGTGGAAACAAAGGCTTCCTTCTTTCATTATTGTTTTCTTTCCTTCCATCCACCCTTCCACCCTTCCTTCCCTCCATCCGGGAAACGTGATGATGACAAAAGGCACCCAGGGTGGCAGTCAAGGTCAGGAGAAAGTTTCAAGGTAAGTAGGCTTGTCACACGTGCTTACTTCTAGCGCTCAACTTTGTGCCACAAGAAGCTCGTTGCGAACCTACACCCCCGAAACCCCTAGATAAGTCACCCCGCCCTCCAAGCTTGCATACCTTCCCATCCCCTGTGCCACTGCTGGCTGTGTTCTGATCGTCTTCGATCCCGTTGTCTCGCACATGAAGCGGTTGTCATCATGTCCACGCGATCCGTGTCATGGTTCTCATTCTCCTAATGAACTGGTTGTGAACGCCACCCTATGCATTTTGGGTATCATGCCAGTCTCGCGCCCAGTAGATACAAAGACGGCTCCGCAAAACCTCCGAGACCATCCTCGGCACATCGTGGCTTTTGTTTTGTTGTTTGGAAAACCATTCATAAATGAAAAAGGGTATCAACGAAAGGTACGAAAAGAGATACCTGCCACCGAAACTGGTCACTTTTATCATTCGACGTCCTTTGCGGCATGAGATCCCATCGTGGTTCCGGACCATGCAGACGCCGGTTTTAGAAAGTATAATCATCCTCGTCACCGCTGTCACCCTCGAAGTCACGAAACTCTTCATTTGTCATCAGGACTGGGTCTTTAAGCGGCAACTTCTCGTGGACCACAAATGAAGGTCCTTTGCTCGAAGTCGACACCATGGGGCTCTGGAAACGAGCCGTCACATGGGAGCCCGAGATTGGCGAAGAGGGCGTTGAAATCTCAGATGACAGGTGCGTAGGTGAGGCTAGTAAGTCGATATCATCCGAATTAGTAGACGTAGTCACGTTGCTGGAAACCACCGAAGGGACGTTGGAAGAAACCAGGGAGCTGATATCGGATGCAAAATGATCTTCTGCATTTCCAAATATGTCGATAGATTGTGGTCTGATCGGTCGAATCTTTTCTAAGGATTCTTGTCGGCAAGGAGGCGGCGCCATTTCCGGTTCTGGGCTTGATATTTTCTTGACTGTAGCGGCTGTCATTTCTATTCCAGCGGCACCCGAGCTTGTCGCAACGGGCGAGTATGGGTCAGGCAGGTGTTCTCCGTGGTAAATCCCTTCGCGACTAATTCCTTCAGATGCCAGTACGGTGCCCACCTTGATGACTTCTTCACTAGCAGTCGACATTTGCTCGACTATCGGCGCTGCGTCGTGCATAACGGTGTTCCTCGCAATCTTTACAAGGGTATCCTGAAGCACCCAAGGGAAAGAGATGAAGGGCATTTTGGTAGAAGCGGAGCCGGATTCATCTGAAGTAGCAAATTGTGCCTCGTCTTCCATAAGGTTTTGTTGCTTTGCTTGTGCCTCTCGAAGTTCGTCGTGCGTAATATGATAAGCCGCTATCGCGAACGGCTTTAGTTTCTCGCTGTCGTGTCCACCAGCCTCCTGGCAGAATGCTTCGTAATATTGCTCCTTCAGATTTTTGGCATGCTGTCCGATCTCTTCGTGAAACTTGAAATCTTTGGAGACTTTGCTGTGGTGGAGTACAAACGTAGACCAAACCTCAAATTCGGAGCCGATTTGATGTTGGGCCATGATGCGCCGCATCCTTTCATCGTAACTCTTTTTCAGATTGCTAACAGTCTCCATGATCTCGTGTGCCGGAGCATGTGTGAGGATTCGTGGATCAAAGGTCCCTGACCAGTGCGGCTTAAATTTCACTCTCTCAACCGCGTCGTATAATTGACCCAAAATCTTCTTTGACCGGTATTCATTTCGTTTCTTTTCCATAAAGTGGGGCCAGTTGTTTCGTTCGAGATCTCGACTCATCTCAGCAGGAACACCGGTCTTGGGGTAATCGACAGCCACCGAATGTAATTCGACCAGCTTCAGGCATTGTTCGCTTCTGATTCCGTCAGCGAGGTAGTCAGCTGCTGCGAGATGAGCATGAGCAATTCTTCCGAGGAAATCATTTTGCATGTAGTCACAAAAGAAATCGATGATGTCGTCGATAGATATTTCCTCCTTCTGGATCGGCTCCGGAGCGTTGTAGTGGAACGGTTCAGCATTCCATTCTGAGGGTATCAAATCCGGGTCCCAGGTAACAATGTAGTCATCTCCGTCGAGGTCGCCACCTGAGCACATACTGGGCAAGTCACGATCACCGGTCGCTGGCATAACCACGACGTCGCAGTGGTGATGTAACTGCGGCACATTGACGGCCTTGACCACTCGTACATCGCCTCGGTGCAAGGACGGATTACGTGCAATGACACAAATTCCCTCGACGATACGGCGCACTCCCTTTAGTTCCGGGTCTGTATATTGGATGAATATCTCGGGTAGAGATTTCTCCTTCTCTTGACGGCTTGCATCAGGGCTAGGTTGAATATCGTTAATATGACCGCGAAGCGTCCTCGTTTCGTCGACAACACCGAGCACAAAGGCGCCTTGAGCGATCGGTATCTTCGCCTTCTCCTTGAGGTATTTCAACGTCCAGGCTCTCCAAAGCCGTAGAAGAGACGCTACAAAAGGCTCGTGGATCTGGGAGAACCCGGCTTCGATTAGTGCAGCAACGCTGAGGGTGATTAAATTGGGATCGACTGTCTCGCGCAGGGCTCGTAAGGCAGCCGTATCATCTACGAGAGCAGCGTCCAAGGCTTCGATACAGTCTCGTTGTTTGTGCAAAAATACCGCATCTGGAACACCGAGCGCCGAGAGTACCTGAATGAGCTGACGGTTCAGGAATGGTTGCCAGAACTCCGAGACGCGAATGATCTCCAACTCGTCTGATTCGCAGCTGAACTTGTACTGACTTGGTCTGATCTTGATGTCAACACCATTGAGGCTAGGATCCACAGCGAGGACCCCTTTACAGCCGCTAAGCCGAAATTGGTACGCCGATGGGAGGTGTTCGCCGCCAAGTTTGAGGTTTGTTTTGACAAGCTGAGCAGCAAGAGGAGATATTTTACCTACTCCATCGGTAAAATAGTATGGGCCGTTGACTATGTCGGGGATGAGGTCTCTTTTCCAACTGTTTCTGCTGAGCACCAGGACTGGTTTTGTCGTAGAAAAGCATTGACCCATTCGGGCGGCTCGCTTGGCTACAACCTTTTCGTGATCAAAGGTGCCCATGTCTCTTCGAATACTGTCGGCGGTGATAAGAGGGTTTTTCGAAGATGCAAAGAAGTACGCCCCGTGTTCTCGAAGTTGTGAGTTGCCCCACGCGAGAAACTCGTAGTGCCGGTCACCCAGAACAATACCCCTCTTGAGTGTACGACGAACTCTCTCAAAGAGGAGCTTCATTCTGCCGTTTGTTGCAGGGTAGAGTCTCGTTTGTCCTCTGTATGGGTCGTCTTCGAAGCGCACTCGCAGAAATCGATCGCTGAAGCGCCGGTACTTGCGCACAATACGGTTGGTGATCTCAACGGATGGAGTGTGAAACAAGATCCTAGTGGCAGTGACCGTGGCATGATATAATTCTGCACAGTTTGATGGGAGTGCACGAGCACGTACAGGCTTCGAATAACGCAAGTCGGTAAAGATAGACATGGGATCGTAAACTCTTTGCTGGTAAGAATCGACGTGAATGAGCATCTGCTTCGCTTGCTCAGGCCGCATTCCCGTCAGGCGTCGTAGGAAATTGTCGTCCAAAGTGTACTCGTTGAGCCAACCTTTGGAGATACAGACTTCAAGTTGATATCTCAAATCGAAGTCAACGTAGGGCAACGATAGCTGGGCGGACAAGGATTGATGTGAGGAAGTATCGCCCAGCATTCGCCAGAGAGGCGCTCCGCCACTCGAGTCCTTGACAACTTCGAAAGAGGGATCTTGGGTTATGCGAATATTGAAATCTGCAAGGGCTTTCAGAAACTGTTTCAGAGAATTGTCAGACTGATTGGTGCTTGGCTTGACCGTGACCCGGAAGGTTGTCCAACGTGCAATGTCGATCGAGTTGTAAAGCTTTTGCACCGAGACGGGACTGCTGTCAATCTTCTGGAAAGTGGATTTCTCATCAACAATGTCGGTTTGCCGAGACCACGTATCGTCCGCCGTCCACTTGAACGATTTCGGGTCGTGGCTCAGTTGCATGGCCTCTTTCAGTTGTCTTGAGTAACAAGGGGGATGCTTGGCATGGATCACCAAGGAAGAGGTCTGCCCGTTTGGAACCTCGTGCAGAGAGAACTGATCGTCGAGAGCGACAAAGAATCGGTAGGCTCTTTCGGTTGTCTTGCCTTTTGACCTGATCATCACTGGGAAGTGAACTTCCAACTCAAGACGTTTGAGATTTAGAACCAGTCTAATGGCATTGGCATGGACATCGAACTTGCTCGCCTTGACAACCATCAGGGTGGGAGTTTGTAAGTAGCCGAAGTCGATCGAGGTCCCGAACAACGTCATCTCAGCGGGATACTCGAGGCCGGCGTGAACATGACTCTCGACGACCTGAGCCTTGAGTTGATTGAGAGACAACCAGACCTTGACTTTGTACACTCTCTCGCCGTCTTGGCTGCTAAGAGGAAAGTCAATGCCGAACTTGTAGACCGGATCCCATGGAGCTCT